ATCGGGTTTCGTAAGATAAATCTCAAAGAGCGTAAAGGTAGGTTTTATTGTAATAACTTAAAGGTAGAAAATAAACAAGAAGAACGTGTGAAGAGCTAATACTAGGGGTCCTAGTGTCCCTTTATATAGTAGCTCTTCACCTAGCGTGACTCATACTTATGCGTCACGCAAACCTTTGTGACTCATAACTATGAGTCATGCGAAATCCCTCAGCTGACTCCTATGAGTCGCTGCGCAATATACCTAACCAATCAAAACATAATAACCAAGTCAGGTGCGTAACTCGCGTCACCTGAGTGAAACCCATGACTCATAATCTAAGTCATGTGCGAAAATCATAACATCGTGTGACTCACAAGCGTGAGTCACGAACAGGTAAACATAATAACCTATGGCACACTAATGTGCGTTATGTGAAATTCCCACATACCTATAGCTCGGAATTCGAGCTATGTGAAATCTGCCTTGCTTAGTCACAGTTTGTGACAGACTGACACGGTTCCAATCCAGGTCCTCCGCGCCCTCGACAAGGGTGAACGACATTCCCGCCTCCTGTCACTGACCGAATGCAAAGACGATGGGGATAAGTTACTCTACCGGGATCGGATTTACGTCCCCCAACACGATGAACTACGCCTACGGTTGATACAAGACTCCCATGATCGGCCTTCCGCCGGACACCCAGGACGCGCCAAAACTCATGAGTTGATGTCCCGGCGTTATGTTTGGCCTGGCATGAGACGGGATATCGGACGATTTGTGGCCAACTGTCATATATGTCAACGGAGTCGTACCTCCCGGCACGCCCCCTTTGGCATCCTACGTCCCCTGCCAATACCTGACCGCCCGTGGGAACATATCTCGATGGACTTCGTCACTGGCCTGCCATGGAGCCAACGGAACGATGCTATCTTGGTGGTAGTCGACCGGATGTCCAAGATGCGCCACCTAGTCGCATGTCGCACCACCATTGACGCCCCCACCCTCGCGGACCTGTATCTCCAACATGTTTGGAAACACCATGGCCTCCCTAGAACGGTCACCTCTGACAGAGGTACCCAGTTCACCGCCGACTTCTGGAGAACGGTTTGCGAACGACTCCAGGTCGAGAGAAAGATGTCCACGGCATTCCATCCCCAAATGGATGGACAGATAGAACGCGTCAATGCTATCATGGAACAATATCTGCGAGCCTTTGTCAACTACCAACAGGATGACTGGTCCCTCTGGCTCCCTATGGCAGAGTTTGCGGCTAACAACCACGCCTCCGAATCTACCAGTTTGTCACCTTTCTTTGCTAACCATGGCTACGACCCTCGTATGGATTTCCTGGATGCCCCCGACGAAGCCTCCGACGAGCCACGAGCTGGCTTCTTTGTAGATCGCATCAAGGATATCCACGACCATCGGAAGACCGAGATAGCCTTCGCCCAGGATCGGCAACAGGAATACGCGGATAAAGGGAGACTCCCAGCCCCTCACTTCCAGATCAGGGACCGTGTTTGGTTAAACGCAAAGAACATCAGAACCAAAAGACCCTCAGTGAAGCTTGACGACAAACGTTTCGGTCCTTACTCTGTCCTCGCCCAGATTGGCACCCATGCCTACCGTTTGGACCTCCCCTCCACCATGAAGGTTCATAATGTGTTCCATGTTTCCCTTTTGGACCTCGCTTCTCACAATCCGCTCCCTGGCCAGGAAATACCTCCGCCACCACCTGTGGAAGTAGATGGCGAACAGGAATGGCAAGTGGAGGACGTCTTGGATGCCAAGTTCGTCCGCAACCGTCTACGTTACCTCATCAAGTGGAAAGGATACACGGAGGCTACCTGGGAACCCGCCGACTCTGTCAACGGACTTCAGGCCCTGGAACGGTTCCATGAACGATACCCCCATAAGCCCGGGCCCTTACCCGAGTGACTCGCCTCAGGGGACTTCGGCGTCGGAGAGGGGAGCTAGTGTCACGGCCACCTGGCCCGGTATAGGAAACGGGCATTGGATTTTTGGTTGCATATATTGGCTGTGGCTTCCTGGGTTGCGTAGTAGGATTTCTTTGGTTTTATGATTGGGATAGGTTGCCGTGCGACGGAGACTAGTGGAACCTGATGGAAGGATCGCGGCTGCGCGCCATGCCAAGAGTTTTCTTTTGTATTACTGATCATGGTGGATTTCCTAGTTATATAAGGGGGTGTGCCCCCTTATATTTTATGTTCTTTACGCAATCTGGTAATCTCCTTCGGACACCTGTACCTAGGAATTACACTCTCTTCTACTTCGCGTGCTCCTGAACCCCTGAGTCCTGACCCTGAACCCCTGAACCCCTCAAGCCTTGTACAACTCGCTTCGGTTGTACTCCCGTTCCTGAACCTCGCTTCCAGACTCTTGCCTGTTACTATCGCAGTGTGCCTTGGGCTACCCGACCCTCAGACCTTGTCCGTTACACCTGTCTTCTTCCCTCTACGCTTGCGGCCCGCCCCCGGTCAAACAACTGGTTGGCCTGCCTTGGTATTGCACTATCTCCTGGGTTGAGCTGGCCGGCCCCGTCATGGCATTTCGCCAGGGTCCTACTGTGGGCCTGACAGTGGACATATACATTCGCGGACGCCTGTAGAGGCATTTGGGGGTTTCCTATTCTATTCTTTCCTTTGTCGAGATGACGCTGAAGGGTTTTTCTTCTCTCTCCTGCCTTCCCTGTAGGGGACGATCGTTCCTTTGTGGGGTGGGATGTGCGGTTAGGCCCATACCAGAGGGTCTTGGGGGGTTGTTTTGGTCCCTGGGGCGCGGAGGAATGCGTCTGAAATTAAGGTTTTGTTTTTGCCATAGCTAGCGCTCCATGCAGGTTCTTGTACCTTAACCATGAATATATGAGTTAAACAAAAAAAATAAAAAAAAAAAAAATACCTTAGCTTTCAGAATCATCAGTGAACGGAGAAGAGATCTTATCAATATATTTGTTATACTTTGATACCCATTATTGTTACAAGCTTTCTTGACCACTCTCCGAGAAACCTTATTGGCCCCAGTTACAAATTCGTCTGACTTAGAATTGACTGCCGCCCAACACTTCTCCTCTGATATCATTTGCCGTTGCTGTCCCTCATTGGCCTCTGCATGACTGGTTGAGGTTCTGGCTAATCTTTAGTAGAGGGTCTGCTTGTCTACCTCGAAGGCCTTGCTGACTTCCGTAACACTCTCCTCCTTCCAGGATCCTATGGCTTGGATTGCCGTTTGGAGGCGAGCCTCATATTGAGGATCTTTACTTCGTCGTGGAGGCATCGTGGTTGCAATAACCATCTATACCCTCAGCAAAGCGGGGTACCATCAATTCATGGGTGTTATTTACGCCAAGTCCAGCTTGTGTCACATCCCGGTTTTGTGTCACTTCCACGTGATTTACGTTACTATCATACCCGGTTGTTGAGACTGTGGCGTCATCCACCCAAAGTTCCCAGCACCAAGAAAAACACGTGCTCAGATGGAAGTTGACATGTGGTGCGGGTTCGTTACCCCACACAGGTCGACAACAAAGCCATTGTCAGGACTTATCTCTCCAAATCTGAGCGACGGATCAGAGGGCGGTAAATCTTAGGGGATGTTTGGTGGACCATGTGTTGAGACAACCGTGTATTCTACACACGGTTTTTCCTGACAAGAGGTGTTACTAGAATTAAGTTTAAAGGTGTTAAGCATGATAAATGTGATATCAAGCAAAATTCTGGGCAGGATAAACGTCGTAACATGTGTGTGGAACACACGGCTATCTCAACACATGGCCTGCCAAACACTCCCCTTAACGAGCAGACCAATACCCACGTAGAGTTTGGCACGCCGGGATGGCTTCGATAAGGTACTTTGAGTGGAGAGACCCAGTATACAAGGGCCCAAAATAAATACAAAGCAAAGTGAGAAAAATCATAAATGTCCTCATTCTTCATGTCCCGTGTGTGAAGCCCCCCGTCGAAAAAGAATCTTGATCCCCCCGAGGTGGGCCGACTCAACAACTTCAGACAGAAACGAGATGGGCAACCAGCACCGCTCCGAGCGGGGGGATAAATTGGGATAAAAGTTAAGTTACATGATTGCGTGTCTTACGTAATCTTTGACATGTATTCTTTTCACAAATCCGCTGACGCCATTTCCCTCATCCTCAGACAGACCTTCGCCCCTCTGCTCTCGTGATAGCGGAGATGATCCATCCTCCAGACGCGAATGCTGCACCACCTGCATTTCATTCCCAGGTCCCCTTTGTGCTTAACCAGAATATGGCGCCGCAATTCCGAGCTTCGGAAAAAGTCCTTCCTACATCCCCGGAAACTGCAAAGGAAGCGAGATCCTGAACTCCTCGAACGTCGGGGCTGGGAGCTGTTCATTTTGGTTAGCAAGATGCCGTTAACTTAGGGATACAATGAGAAAAGGTGGGGCATCATAGAAAGAAAGTCGTTATCCCTACATTTCCTTCTCAGGTAATGCTGGGAACTGCGGGGGGCTTTTCGGCATGCTCTCGCGATAGTTTGTTTGTTCGCTTAAGTCAGAAACTAGTTCCTCCGCTATCACCTTAACTTCTTCCACTTTCACTCCCACCCTACCACTCAAGAATACCCAAATTTTCCTAACAACCAACTCCCATACATCTCGAAGGTAAGCATACCTCCTCTCTAATAGCACTGCAATGAGCAACGCAACCCAAGCGACTTTATCTCCGCCGCACGGCTCGGGAACCGAATCCATCCTGGAACCTAGGAGTTCAACCACATACTCGTCCGCAGTGTGGAAGCTGCCGTCGAATTTCTGGGTAGTGATTAGCCTGTAGATGTTTATTGGAGATCCTGTGGATGTTCGGTCTAGCCCCGGCTTGTCGTCGATCCTCTGATGATCGAGGATCCCGACGGCGTTGAAGCAGTTGGCGTTGTTGTTGAAGCTGTTGAAATTGTTGAAGCTTCCGGAGAGGTTGAAGCTTTTGGAGTGGCTGCTGAAGTCTCGCCGGATGCTGCCATCGTCGCTTCCGTAGCCGGCTTTTGCTATCGTGCAGTTGTTGCGGCTTCTGAATTTCGGGGCGCAAGAGGACAGGTTAGAGGAGGCTGGGAGGTATGGTTCAGTGGGTGGGAGGCAGAGATCTTCCTCGAGCTGAATGGGAGCCGGTCTGGACTGCTGTGGGCTCCCGTAGGGAGGGGGCATCGGGCGGGCCCATATCGGATGTGTGGGATCAGGCGTATCCCTCGGAGCCAGAAGGCGACTCATTGTATCAACCCCACTGTTCACCACTAGAGCCCCCCTTAGAACACGCGGCAGAGATTCAGAACCTATCGTCACGGGAACTGAATGCGTAGGATGAGACCTTGGCAAGGGGATACCATCGAATCTGGGAGAGGAGGTGGATGTGCTAGCGGTCTCGATATCTTCACTCTCTGCACTAGTTTCGGCCGATATATTAGGTATAAATGGAGCGGAGGATCTGCCCTCTGACAATGCTGATAGATCTCCCTCGGGTGGCGCGGGGGTCCGGATCGGGGCCACATCCATAATCTCCTCTTCCACGCCTATAAAGCTAGTCCATTTACTCGCCAGTGACCACCTCATGCCAACCTCTTCACCTTCTCTCTGGACGTACTCCTGAACTCGCGCCGGATCTCCTCCTGGAACACCGCATTTATCAGAATGAAGCCAGCTTCTACCCTCTTCCAAATCACGTAATAACATCCTAGCGGCGAGTTGGTGGACAGTCTCTCCCGGCTGCTTGATGTGAGTGATTGGAATTGAAAGTGAGAGCTCGTCCCCGGCAATTGTGGTCGCACTCAAAGTCACGGACTTTGCGTGCTTCAATTGTTTAGTGGTAGGGGGGACGAGGAGGTACACTACGGACCTCTCATATGGGAAAAGTGGTGGGATTTTGAAAGGTGCTTGGGTTATCTCCGGGCCATGTAACTTCTTCAAGTGGGCGAATCTGTTTCCGCTATCCTGGACGTTGGCCAAAGATGGGGCCAGGCCCACATCCGATGAGCGAGGTTGCGGAGGAGAACGCCGGCGGGGCGCTACAGTAGGGTCAAACAGGTTAATCCTCCCCGACCGTCCCGCCGGGGCTCTGACTCGTACTGGAGCCGGATCGGCGGGGGTTATCTGTGCTCTTGACCCAGCTCCCCCTTCACCCTCGCTCTCCGAATCTTCCTCGTCCCCTTCCTCTTGCAAAACATGCAACTTATACTCCTCAATGTGATCCGTCAGGGCACTGTTAAGCATCCTCACCACCTTCGCCTCTAGACCATTTGCCAATGCGTCACCGCCGGCCTCACCACTGGGCACAATCTGGGAATATCCTCCCCCAGCAGTTGCAATTCCCTCAACGAGTGCATGCGACACCCTTTCTCCCACGCCCAGGCTGAAAAGCCGAATCGCCCCACCGCTTTGCTTACGCATTTTTTGGATATACTCCAGTAGCTCTGGCAACCTCCAGATCGCTCCGTCCGTTAGAACCATGATTTCGGTACTCATTCCCGGTTCCGAGTGTCTGCGGGAAAATGCTTGCATCAAGGGAGGTAATAGTTCTGTCCCACCATAACTCGCATCAAACGTCTCGATGTGCTCGGATGCGGTATTCAAGGTTCCTTCGGTGTAGGCTTTGGAGCGCTCCCAGAGCAAGGTGTTCTTACTGCCGAAGGATATAATGTTGAAAAAGCAGCCTAATGGGAGAGACTTGAGGAATACACGGAGGGCTGATTTTACGTGCTCGATCGTGTCTCTCATAGAACCGGATCGATCAACTAGAAAGACTATTTCAGTATTTTCCGGTGTCTTCGTCCCTGGCATCTCGAAGCGGGGTGCAAGCGTTACTTTTAAAGCCTGATGACCGGGGATAGTTGGATGGGTCTCTAGTAGTGCCTGGGGGGTAGATATGAAGTGCGGAGTCACAGTAGTGATCAAAAGCACGAAATCTTTCAAAAGCTCAGGAGGTGTTTGAGACAGTGTGACTAAGGCCTTCTTGGGATCGTGCTCTTGATTACTAGCTCTCCCTCCCCCATTTCCATGTTGTCCAAGCTGGACAGCTGTTGGATGCGAAGGGCTTTCAACAGACTTTATCGCTTCACCCATCGTAACCTCAATCTCCATTCGAAGACTCTTATTCATTGAAACCTCCGGGCCGTTCTGCCCAAATGCGCCCGACGGCGGTGGTCCGTACCTCGGTGCAATCGAAAGCGGAACCGTGAACTTGATTCCGTCGGCCTCCGCATCGTGTGGTAGTTCCAAAATGTACCCAATCTCAACCTTAATCTCTACGCTAGCGGGTATACCCCCGATACTAGTGGTGAAAACATCCGGGGTGTTGTACTCCAACAGCCCCGCAATTTGCCCGCTTCTAGTCGCGCTCTCGTATACCCGTTTCGCAACTTCCTTCGGCTTGACGACACCGCTGATAACCTTACTTTTACCCACTCTGCAAACAAAAGTGACGACAGAACAGTTAGCATAAAGCGGGAATGTGTATGTTGCTTTTGAAATCGGTTGGTTCCCCGGGTGGTAGAATATTTGTGTGAGCGTTGTCCGGGCGGCTGTCGTGAGGATTTGACATTGGTACGAGACTTGCACCAGCGGAAGGAAGACCTGCTGTCGCATCGGTGATACCGGTAGTGGATAATTGGGGTCCATGTGTGCAGCTAGTTGGTGGCTATAGCCGCCGGGTATCGCAGTGAACTGGTTCACACCGACGCCGCCCACAAACGGAGGTTGACCTCGTTGCCGGTCGTAAATTGGGTCGCCGGGTGGGGGTACATCGTCTTCGGGAAAGAAGTAAATGCCAGAAGTGGGTGGAAGTGTCATATTGTTTTCCCCGGGGGGCTCCTGTTTTTTCTTAAATGGTGTCCGATAGCTCCTCACCTTGGGGGGAATTTCAGGAATCTGGCAGCTTTATATTGGGTGGTCGGAACTATTAATTTTGACGCAAAAGATTGCGATTCTCGAGTGGCTCAATGCGGGTAGTGCCGATATGGCGAAAACACACCTAGCCCAAGGGAAGTAGGTTCATCCACCCGCTGTGTCTGCCTAGAAAAAGTAAAAATGATCTTACACCTGCCTTATCGCGCCAATGCCGGTGCGCAGTGGGGCGCCTCAGTACGACCACACACCCTCCCCGCTCTATCATGAGACTCGGTCGGTGAAGAAATTGAGATAATTTTTTTTGCAATCCCTTCCCCCCCCCGTTGTCGGTGTCTTCTGGTAGTGTTTCCCTTCCCTGTCTGCCTCCTCCGAATTCTTGGGAAGGGTTGTGCGGTTGGTCTTAGACCAGGAACATTGGCACGGCTACAGTAGGGGAAAAGAAGGACCGAGGTAAATGATTCTTACAAAGACGGTCCCCAACCCCAATCGCTCCACCCCAGTTAAGCACCAGTGTGTGCCTATAAGTGAAATATTCAGCTGGGTGCGAAGTCCCCCCGGCTATAAACAACCAATGCTTTTTCCATACAAACAACCCGCGGCGAAATGTCAAATTTCTTCCCCATTTCCGAGGCGAAAACGCCTGAGCCTTGGTTTAAGCAGCGCAAATGGGGGCTCTGTCATTTGTTGTGCGGAAGGCCGTTTCCCTGCGCCCTCGAGCTCCCCCAAAGTGGTGTTGTCAAATATGTACAGCACAGCACTAATGTGTTCCACCCTGTACGAGTACTCGAGAGCAACTTGAATCACCAAACTTCACGCTAAGACGACGGAATTCTCCTCTATTAACAAACAGGAGGAAATCACCATGCAAATGCAGAGCCCCAGCAGAGATGGATAGAGTGAAAAATACGACAGACCTTGCTATTTGAGTCACCTGCAGCATCCTAACAGCATTGATCTCTGTGTACGGTGGGCGGGATCCCAGTAACTCCGTATGAAAATACTACACAATATACGGCAAAGAGCATATACTCATGTGCCAAAGTTAGTCCCTGAACAGGGCTTCAGAGGGGTGGAAATGAAGCTCATAGGCCATATACTCATGCAGGGGCACATATGCCAAAAAGAGAAGAAGTTCCGTGAACGCTTTAAAGACGATAATTGGTGAATTTCATTTTCGAAGCTGCTAACTATTTAGCTAAGCCCGAATTTTCAGTCATTGAGACTGCCGCCAATCACTGCATCAATGTTCACAGATTTTACCCCTGTCACGGGCACAGTGGTGTAACCTTCGGACGGGACTGGCTGAGCAATAATAACAGGACGACGGAAGGTGGTACATATTGCACGATATATAATGAGAAAACAAAGTGCAATTGTGTTTGGCCCCGAAAACCTGTCAAGATAATCCCAAAATTCATGCATAATCTACGGTGAAAGTCTTCAATGCCACAACCCCGGCGCGAAAATACCTGAAATGCCACAACACGCCAGACTAGTACCAGTAATGAAAACTTTTCACCATGACACAACTCATCACTTTCTTTCCTTCCTAAGTTTTTGTGGATGTTTTCCTCCCCCAGTCCTATGGTGGCAGCCTTATCTAATCTCCATCCAGCTCCCGCCTTGGGGCAACGTTTCTCTTCCTTCGGTGGGGTCGCAGGGGTTTTGCGTGACTGGTCTATTGGTGAAAAGTTCAGCTACCGAGTTTCCAAGTTAAATTCAACATGAGGAATCTATGTCTGTAAGGTTTCAAACTGCCCATGGATGGACGGCATGTGTTTAGGGATGTGTGTACTGTACGAGTACCCATGTAAACAGTTGTAGGTGGGGGCGTAAAAATTAGAGACCGAACCAGTCTAAGGCATTGTGGTATTGTAGATATTTTCATGCCAAGGTTGTGTGGCATTGGAGACTTTTAGCGATAAATCTAAGATGGTGTGAGGGAAAATCCCAGAAAATAAATTAATATGCAATAGTAATTAGTTACAATGCACATAGAAGTAAAGCAATCCCAATAAACCCAAGTAATTGATAAGAAATACATGCATCACACTTAGTTAAGTTTGGCATAAAAATATGGGATGCGGTATAGTATCTGCTATCTTTTTACGGTATCCTAATCGGGTGCAAGAAATATTTAATGAAATATCCATATCACATGTTATAGCTGTAGTAATATCTGTGGCCTCTGCGTGATCCCAAACATTATTCAAGTATGAGAGTAAGAAATATTACCATTGAAAACATCAAAAGGAAACAAATTAGAAATTGTGACAAACCTGAGGTCCAACTGCAGGCATCCCAGCGCTTTCTGTATATTTGGGCATTCTGAGGGTGGAAATCAGGAAAACTAGACTTCCAGATCCAACAGCAAGAAGAGAAGAGTGTGAAATATTCATGGCAGAACTGTTCGGGCAGGCCGGATTAGCCTTTTCCACCGGAAGTCCGACCAGATCCAAGCCCCGCCCGGCAAATTGTAAACCGGGCCGACCCAACAAGCCCGAGGGACCAGTGCATATTATACCTGTCGAGGAGAGGAGGATAAGTAAAACCAACGATTCAGTCCGGGGCTCTGAAGCATCCACTAGACCGGAAAAGGTAACATACTCGGGACAGGGATAAAACCCCGTCAACATCGATGCAGTGATTGGCAACAGACTCAAGAACTGAAAATTCGGGCTTAGCAGTTAGCAGGTTAGAAAATCAAAATTCGCCGATTACTATTTTTAAAGCGTTCGCGAATTTTCTTCCCTTTTCACGTCTATTTACCCTGCATGTGCATAAGTTATAGCCTATAAACTTCATTTCCACCCCCTCCGAAGCCCTGTCTATGGACCAACCTTAACACCCGGTCCGGTAACTCATGATCAGAGCCTCACATGCGGTTAACATCTCGCCTTAATACAGGTACATAGAATCGGCTCAGGATTGTGGCTACATCTTACAGGCTAAGCGATGTCGGCGGGGGTATTAGGGAGTTCGGGAGTCGCAGTGGCGGTGGTGGCTATGGTTGCAGTATTCCGGGTGAGAGTGGGGGATACGGATCTGGGGGTAGGAGAGGGGGTAACGGGGGCCGCGGACATCCGTGCGCGGGAGTCTTTACGCGGGCAGAGGGGTCGTTAGAGTTAGTTTGGAGAGAGGATAGAAAATGGAGAAGAAAGAACATAAAATGACCTAGACGGGGGAACTTGAGTAGTTTGAGAGCCTATTATACTTCGTTTTTCACACAGTTCTTCAGTGTTTGCTGTATTCGCTTGGCGTATCGTATGTTTTCGAGTGATTTGTGGCATAAACTCTAGATCAGGTCCGAATGACCATAATTCCTTTCTCTCACCCAGACCTAATATTCGCCAGTTATTTATGAGCGACACATCTTTCACACGACCAAACATTCAAGGCACTCTCCCGCGAATGATAATACATGATCTTACTAGGGTCTGGAAACTAAAATAACCGCTAAAACAGGAGGAAAAAATGGCCAAGAAAGCGAACTTCCCCCACAATCAATTTACCCATCCAGGGCATCAACAAAACTCGAAAATCCCGCCCGGGAGAAAAAAACCATCCTACTCCCACGCAGCAACTAGTTCCTCCGCCGCCAGTTTCACTTCTTCCACCTTCACTCCCTCCCTACCGCCCAAAAATACCCAAATCTTCCTAACGACTAACTCCCATACATCTCTCAGATAAGCATATTTTCTCTCCAAGAGCACCGCAATGAGCAACGCAACCCAGGCGACTTTATCCCCCCCGCATGCCTGGGGCATTGGGTCATTCCGGGAGCCCAGGAGTTCAACAACATACTCATCCGCAACAGGGAAGCTGCCGTCAAAATTCTGTGCAGCTATAAGTCTGTAGATGTTAACTGGAGATCCGGCCGGTGGTTGGGGAGGCACAGGCATGCGGTTGGGGGCGCGCATGCCAGACTGCCCTGGAGAACCGCCCTCACCCGCCACGGCAGTATCAACTGTGGCGAGAAGGCCCCCGTCAACAACTGAGGGGTGCAGCCCAGTAGGTGGGACGATAGTCTGCGAGGGCTCCTCGAGGGTAGGTGCCATAATTGATCCGGACGGGTCTTCGGGTGGGCGTTCGGGCGGAGCAGATCGACTGAATATGTTTCCCACTCTCCACACCGCTCCCAGGGATTGAAGGTTGTAAGCTTTATAGGCCCGATAAAAGTCCGCAAGTCGCCCCCCCAACCAGGAATACGGTTCCTCCCTTGGCTGCCATGATACTATCACTTCCTCCCGCATTTCAAAATTGCAATACTTTGTACGGGAATCGAAACCCGACGAACCTTCAGTGCTAGACGAGATGCTGGCCGCTAAGGGCCTGCCTTGGATAAGCTCTGGCTGCATGGTCGGTCTGCCGTGCTGTTGGTATGAGTTTGGATTGTAATTCTGGGCGTGGGGGTTCCACACGGGATGTTCGGGGCCAGGCGTATCCCTCGATTCCAGAAGGCGTCCCATAGGATCAACTCCGCTACTCATCGCTCGGACACCTGCAATAACACCCCACCGGGCCCTAGAACCAATCGCCGTGGAGGGTGAATGTGTGGGATTCAGTCTTGACAAAGGTACGTGATCAGAGCCGGAGGTGCCGGATGTGTTGATGGACATGCTGTCCTCACTATCCGGAGTGGTTTCGGGTAATATACTGGGGATACTGGGAGCCGAAAGTCTCCCTTCCGCCAACCCCGACGGCTTTCCCTCAGGTGGCACTGGGCTCGGCATCGGCGCCTCGTTCAGAATCTCCTCTTCGACACCTATAAAGCTAGTCCATTTGCTCGCCAGTGACCACCTCATCCCAACCTCTTCACCTTCTCTCTGGATGTACTCCCGAACTTCCGATAAATCTCCTGCTGAGACACCATACTTGCCAGAGTGAAGCCAGCTCTTGCCCTCCTCGAGATCACGCAATAGCATCCTAGCAGCCAGTTGGTGCACAGTCTCCCCCGGCTGCTCGAGGCGGATGATGGGAATCGAAAGCGTGAGCTCCTGACCAAAAATTGTAGTAGCACTCAAGGTCACAAGCTTTGCATACTTCAGCTGTTTGGCGGTAGGGGGTATCAGGAGGTACACTACGGACCTCTCGTATGGGAAAAGAGGCGGGATTTCGAAAGGGGACTGGGTTATCTCCGGGCCTTGTAACTTCTTCAAATTGGCGAACCCATTTCTGCTATCCCCATAACTGCCCAAATTTGGGGTTAGGTTCACATTGGGAGAAGGTGGTGTAGGAGGACGCTGAGGGGGTGCGGCGGTAGGGTCAAACAGATTGATCCTCCCCGAAGGCTTGGCCGGCGCTCTGGCCCGTACTGGAGCCGGATGGGCGGGAGTCACCTGGGCTCCTGTCCCAGCTCCCTCTTCTTCACCCTCACTCTCCGAATCCACCTCGTCTCCTTCCTCCTGCAAAACATGTAATTTGTACTCCCCAATATGATCCGTCAGGGCGCTATTAAGTATCCTCACCACCTTCGCCTCCAAGCTCTCTGCCACCCTGCCACCGCCGGCCCCGCCACTGGACACAATCTGGGAATACCCTCCCCCAGCCATCGCAATTCCCTGTACGAGTGCATGCGACACCCTTTCTCCCACACCCAAGCTGAAAAGCCGAACCGCTCCACCACTCTCCTTGCGCATTTGTTGGATATATTCTAGTAGCTCCGGTAAGCTCCAGATCTCTCCGTCTGTGAGAACCATGATCTCCGTACTCACTCCAGGCTCCGATCTCCTCTGGGAAAATGCTTGTATCAAGGGAGGCAATAATTCTGTTCCACCGTAGCTTGCATCGAACGTCTCGATATGGTGGGATGCGATTCTCAGGGTTCCCTCGCCGTAAGCTCTAGAGCGCTCCCAGAGTAAGGTACACTGGCTGCCGAAGGATATGATGTTGAAAAAGCAGCCCAACGGAAGAGACTTGAGGAATACACGGAGGGCCGATTTTACATAGGGGATGGTGTCACTCATAGAACCAGATCGATCAACCAGAAAAATTACTTCAGTCTTTTCCGGCCTTTGCGTCCCTGGCATCTTGAAACGCGGCACGAGCGTCACTTTTAAAGCCTGATGGCCAGGGATAGTTGGATGGGTTTCCAGCAAGGCCTGGGGAGTGGATATGAAGTGCGGAGTAACTGTAGTGATCAAAAGCACGAAATCTTTCAGAAGCTCAGCAGGTGTTTGAGACAAAGTGACAAGGGCCTTCCTGGAGTCGTGTTCTTGATCATTCGCTCTCCCTTTTCCTTTTTTCCCTTTTCCATGTTGCCCAAGCTGGACAGCGGTTGGATGCGTAGGGCTTTCAACAGACTTTATCGCTTCCCCCATAGTAACCTCAATCTCCATCCGAAGGCTCTTATCCATCGATACTTCGGGGCCACTCTGCCCAAATGCACCGGGCGGCGGCGGTCCGTACCTTGGTGCAATGGACAGCGGAACGGTGAACTTGATCCCATCGACCTCCGCATCATGCGGCAGCTCCAAAATATACCCAATCTCAACCCTAACCTTCACGCCAGCTGGCACATTCCCAATACTCGTGGTGAAAACATCTGGGGTGTTGTACTCCAACAGCCCCGCCATTTTCCCGCTTCTGTTAGCCCTCTCATACGTTTGTTTCGCGACTTCCTTCGGCTTGACGACCCCGGTGATAACTCTACTATTACCAACTCTGCAAACGAAAGAGACCACAGAACAATTTGCATACAGTGGGAAGGTGTAGGTTGCTTCAGAGATCGGCCGGCTCCCGGGGTGGTAGAAGACTTGTGTTAGTGTTGTCCTGGCGCTCGTCGCGAGGATTTGACATTGGAACGAGATCTGCACAATCGGGAGGAAGACCTGCTGTCGCTCCGGCGGCGCCGGCTGTGGAAAATTGGAGTCCGGTTGTGTGGCCCGTTGGGGGCTATTGACTACGGGTACCTCGTAGAAGCCGTTCACACCGACACCACCCGCAAACCGAGGTTGGCCTCGTCGTAGGTCGCAAATTGGATCGCCAGGTGGAGGCACATCATCTTTGTGAAAGAAGTAAATGCCGGAAGAGGGTGGAAGCGCCATATTGCTTTCTTGGAGGCTCCTGATTTTTTAAAAAATAGTTTCCGACAGCTCCCCAGCGCCGGAGAACCCACCCCCAGAGGTCTAGCAGCTTTAAGCTTTTTTTCTCGGGAATCTGGTGCAAGAGGTTGTGTGTTGTCGTTAGCTCAACGGGGGCAGCGTTAACATGGTAAAGCTCAACTCACCGTAACGCAAGCAGGAAGAGGAAAAATAATACGGGTGCGCAGCACGACCCAACCACTACAACCCACACACCACAGCGGTTCCCAAAAAAAAAAACCCCGCAGACCAATTCAAATACAGAAAAATTGGAATACCAGTGCCCAGAGATTGTGGAGTTTGCGATGGTTCTGCGATCACTGTAGCAGATGATTTGAAGGGTTCGGTAGGGACTACCCCGCAGAAATGCACCGTGCAGGACGCAGGAGCTCGACAGGACCCTCACAATATTCGCAGTGCGGGGAAACCTGCTTTAAGAAGTGCGCAGACTTCGCACGGGCACCTGCTCCAAACTGTGTTCCGGAATCAGGCTGCAGTAAAGCTATGTTGGAGAAAACCTTTGCAGATCGTGTGCTATACCAAACGGATAAGGCTTTTTGGCGGACGTGGTCATGCAAGCGGAAAATTGACATTCGAATACGAACCTCTCACAATACACGCACTCAGATCCAGGGTTGAAAAGGTTTATGCAAGCTTCAGGGGTCGAAATGATTTGCAATAGTGTAGGATATTACCTTTCGCAAACAATTTTGACAGACCAAACCGAAAGCCTAGCACTTTAGAACCCTTTTTTCAATCAAGGGTACTGAATGCCTCAAATATAGGGCTCCTGATACCCTGATAACGGTGCCAATAAACAGCGCGTGCTCCCAAATCTCGCAGCCCACCTACTGAGTGCCTAACAGCTCAACATAGCTTTGCTGCTCATCTTTAACTTCTACCCAACACGACAAACCCGAAGCCAATCCTCACTGCAACCCACCCATAAATGGCCGAAAATTATGGGGATGTTGAAGGGGGGGTTCTGTGATACCCATGAAAGCTCTTTCGAACCTAGGAAATAAAGATTGTGGCAACAACAAGAAACCTTTCTCCCAGTCTTTTGAGAGAATTTGTCTACTTAGGATCTCATATCAACACCTGAGTTACCAAGCGCTCGTTTTTCATTGGGTAAGGTACGACTTAGTCGGTGATTCATATATGATACATCACACTCAAAGTCTGAAAATGTATGGAGGTGGAATACACAAGCTCCACCACCTCTATTTTCCAGCCCTGCTTTTTACTTTCCTAATCGGGGGTGTGACTACCGTTGGAGTAAAACAACCGATGAGCTCTTACGATCCTACCCCACAAGACCAAACCTGGATCTTCGAGGCTTGTGAAGCGGACCTCATCGTGGGAGAAGCACACCATGGCCAACACCCTACTGTTACCTCATACGCTTCGAGCCACGGTTTAAGCAGCGCGAATGGGGGGTCAGTCGGTTGTTGTACGGAAGGTTGTTTCCTGCGCTCTCGGGCTCCCCCAGGGGGTGTTGTCAAATATGTATGATAAAGCACAGCACTAATGTGTTTCGCCGTGCACTCGAGCGCAACTTGAATAACCAAAATTTACGTTGAAACCACGGAACTCCCCTCTATTGACAAATAGGAGGAAATGACCACGCAAACAGAGCTACCCTGCCACCTAGTAGAGACGGATAGAGTGAAAAATGCCACAGACCTTGCTATTGGAGTCACCTTCAGCATCCTAACATCCTTGATCTCTGTGTGCCATAGACAGGATCCCAATAACCCCGTATGAAAATACTACACAATATACGGCAAAGAGCATATACTCGGGTGCCAAGGTTAGTCCGTGAACGGGACTTCGGAGGGGTGGAAATGAAGTTCATAGGCCATATGCGCATGCAGGAGTATGTCAAAAAGAGAAGAAATTCCGTGAACGCTTTAAAGACGATGATAATTGGCGAATTTTGATTTTTCTAAGCTGCTAACTGGCTAAATTTAGCCCGAATTCCCAGTCGTTGAGCCTGCCGCCAATCACTGCATCAACGTTCACAGATTTTATCCCTGTCCCGGGCACAGTGGTGTAACCTTCGGATGGGGCTGGCTGAGCAATGATTGGAGGCGGTTTATATGTGCATATATAATGTGAGAAAAACAAAGTGCAATTGTGTTTGGCCCTGAAAACCTGTCCAGATAATCCCAAAATACATGCATAAATCCAACATGGTGTGAGGGAAAATCTCAGAAAGTAAATTAATATGTGATAGTATGATAATTAATTGTAACGTGGATAGAATTAAAGCAATCTCAATAAACCCAAGTAATTGATAAGGAACACACGCATCATACTTAGTTAAGTTTGGCATAAAAATATGAGATGCGGTATCTGATAATTTTTTCCGGTATCCTAATCGGGTGCAAGAAATATTAATGAAATATCCATGTCACATGTTATAGCTGTAGTAATATCTGTGGCCTCTGCATAATCCTAAAAAATTAGCCAAGTATGAGAGTAAGCAATATTACGATTGAAAATATCAAAATGAAACGAATTAGAAATTGTGACAAACTTGAGGTCCAACTGGAGGCATCCCAGCTCTTTCTGTATATTTGGGCATCCAGATTTCCCACGATGGTTGTTTGACGTGCCGGACCGGGAGTAGGTCAACCTACGAAATGAACCAGTCAAGAGGCATTCTGGGAGGGGAATCCCAAAAACTAGATTTCCAGATTCAGAAGCAAGAAGAGAAGAGTGTGAAATATTCATGGCAGAACGGTTCGGGTAGGCCGGATTCGCCATTTCCACCAAAAGTCCGACCCGATCCAAGCCCCGCCCGGCAAATTGTAAACCGGGCCGACCCAACAAGCCCAAGAGACCAGTGCATACCTGTCAAGGAGAAGAGGACAAGTAAAACCAACGATTCAGTCCGGGGCTCTGAAGCATCCTTAGACCGGAAAAGGTAAAGTACTCGGGACAGGGATAAAAACCCTTCAAAATCGGTGTAGCGATTGGCAACAGACTCAATAACTGAAAATTCGCGCTCAGCAGTTAGCAGCTTAGGTATGATAACTACTCCTCCACATCTAAAATTAAAAAAAGGCAGGAAAGCCGAGATTCGCCCAGCACCCCCAACCCACAAATACCCAGAACTAGACTTTTGTCGGATTGCCATGAGGGCATGTGGTTGGGAGATATGCCGCTAAAGGGCATAGGTTTTAGGTTTTACGCTAGCCTTCATACTCATCGCCGTAGGGCAAAAGGCATAAGATATTTGTTTTGTTTCTTTCACAACCTACGCCACCGGGCATACGGTGGTTTTTTGGATGGTTATGAGATATCATGGGCTCTGGGTCGTTGCGGAGCACGGAGGATCATGATTTGTCAAGATGTTGTGGTTCTTTAGCGTTCGTGGGGTTTCTTTCGGTTTCCAGAGTTAGTTGTTTGGAGATATATATCTCCTGTTCGGCCACTAGCTAGCATCTCCATGATCATCGATGGCCCATTCTTTCACCATCCTTCCACACCCTACTGCGCATTGAGATTATCGCGATTGCACTTTCACTGCTTCATTCTCTAGTGCTTTTCTTTAGGCTTCGTCAAATTTCCCCCTTCCTCAATATTCTTCTCCTACTTGCTCAGCTTCTCCCTCCTCTTCTTCTCCACTCCCTTCCTCCCTTCACCGACCTTCTTCTCCTCAGAAGACCCAATAAAGCATGGATGGCTCTTAAGAGTCCAAGCGGGGTAACTGCGTACAGGTGTCGGAGTAACCACAGACCATGTGATCTCCAGGATCGGCCCAAGGCCGTAGTTACTTCTCGTTGTCCTAGGCATGTCGGCAACAGTCAGTATCGGGGAGTCATGATGCTGAAATTTCTGAGGTAGCGGTGGGTATAGTAGTTTCGGTAAGACTAGGAGGGTTAGGTGAGCGGTAGAGAGAGAGAGAGAGAGAGCGCGCGCAGGGGACTGCAAACACGTCGGAAAGTGTAAATGTTTGCGCGGACGGTGGAGTCAGTAGAGTTGGAAGAGAAGATGGATATTGGAGGATGGGGGACGGAGGATTGGGGCAAGGAAGAAGAACGCGCACCAGGTTTCCTGAGCTAGGAAACTTGACAAGTGTGAATACCTAATTCTTTTTCTACGTAGTGGTTGGAGGCTCACTACGTTTACTTGATGTGTACTTCAGGGATGATCTAGGGTACGAACTATAGATGGGGATCAAGTGCCCATAATTCCCTTACCTCACTCTAACCTGAGGTTGTATAATAGGTTATCACTGACCACCACATCTTTCACGAAAAACTAAGGCTCTGTTTGGCGGGAACGGAACAGTTTGAGACTATCCAATTTTCTCATACAAAATGACCGTTACGAAACGGAAGGGTAAGGAAATTTGTATGGGGAACGGAACAGAACGGACGCGAACGGTCGTATCCAAACAGACCCTAAGGGTGCCATTACATTTTTAGCGAGTGATAATACATGATCCAAGATGGACTGGAAAGAAAAAAGCTAAGGGCGTGTTCGGCGACGACCATTCCATTCCGTTCGTACATACAAAATGGCTGTTCGCGAATGGAACCATAAGGTAAATTTGTATGGGCGAACGGAACGGAATGGTCGTTGCCGAACAGGCCCTAATCGGTAAAATGAAGCATAAGAGGTGTAAAAATAAAGTGCAATTCCCCCACAATGAATTCGCCAATACAGCACGTCACCCAAACCTAAAAAGCCCACCACCCCACCAAAAAAAAAGATCTTACTCCCACTCAGCAACTAGTTCCTCCGCTATCACCTTCACTTCTTCCACTTTCACTCCCTCCCTACCACCCAAGAATACCCAAATCTTCCTAACAACCAACTCCCATACATCTCTAAGGTAAGCATACCTCCTCTCTAATAGCACCGCAATGAGCAACGCAACCCAAGCGACTTTATCTCCGCCGCACGGCTCGGGAACCGAATCCATCCTGGAACCTAGGAGTTCAACCACATACTCGTCCGCGGTGTGGAAGCTGCCGTCGAATTTCTGGGCAGTGATCAGTCTATAGATGTTGGTTAGGGATCCGGTGGATGTTTGGTCTAGCGCCGGCTTGTAGTCGATCCCGTAATCGTTGACTTTTCTGGTGTTGAAGAACTCGGAGCTTTCGCGCCTGTTGCTGGAGCCTTCGTTGCCGCCGAAGCCTCCGATGCTGCTGCCGGAGGCACCGCCCCTGCTGTACACCCCGTACCCTTCGCTGGTGATGCACCCTTCGTTGTTGCTGAAGTCTCCGATGCTGCTGCCGGAGGCACCGCCCCTGCTGTACACCCCGTACCCTTCGCTGGTGATGCACCCTTCGTTGCCGCCGAAGCCTCCGATGCTGCTGCCGGAGGCACCGCCCCTGCTGTACACCCCGTACCCTTCGCTGGTGATGCACCCTTCGTTGTTGCTGAAGTCTCCGATGTTGTAGCTGAAGTCTCCGATGTTATTGCTGAAGTCTCCGATGTTGTTGCTGAAGTCTCCGATGTTGTTGCTGGAGGCATCGTTTTTGCTGCACTCTCCGTACCCTTCGCTGATGATGCACCCTTTGTTGTTGCTGGAGCCTTCGTTGTCGAGCCGAAGGCGAGCCGGTCTGGGAGGCTGTGGGCTCCCGTGGGGAGGGGGTATCGGGGGGGCCCATATCGGATGTGTGGGATCAGGCGTATCCCTCGGAGCCAGAAGGCGACTCATTGTATCAACTCCACTGTTCACCACTAGAGCCCCCCTTAGAACACGCGGCAGAGATTCAGAACCTATCGCTACGGGAACTGAATGCGTAGGACGAGACCTTAGCAAAGGGATACCATCGAATCTAGAAGAGGAGGTGGATGTGCTGGCGGTCATGATGTCTTCACTATCTGCACTAGTTTCGGCCGATATACTAGGTGTAAAGGGAGCGGAATATCTGCCCTCTGGCAATGCTGATAGATCTCCCTCGGGTGACGCGGGAGCCCGGATCGGGGCCACATCCATAATCTCCTCTTCCACGCCTATAAAGCTGGTCCATTTACTCGCCAGTGACCACCTCATGCCAACCTCTTCACCTTCTCTCTGGACGTACTCCTGAACTCGCGCCGGATCTCCTCCTGGAACACCGCATTTATCAGAATGAAGCCAGCTTCTACCCTCTTCCAAATCACGTAATAACATCCTAGCAGCGAGTTGGTGCACAGTCTCTCCCGGCTGCTTGATGTGAGTGATTGGAATTGAAAGTGAGAGCTTGCCGCCGGCAATTGTGGTCGCACTCAAAGTCACGGACTTTGCGTACTTCAATTGTTTAGTGGTAGGGGGGACGAGGAGGTACACTACGGACCTCTCATATGGGAAAAGTGGTGGGATTTTGAAAGGTGCTTGGGTTACCTCCGGGCCTTGTAACTTCTTCAAGTGGGCGAATCTGTTTCCGCTATCCTGGATGTTGGCCAAAGATGGGGCCGGGCACACATCCGATAAGCGAGATTGCGGAGGAGAACGCCGGCGCGGCGCCACAGTAGGATCAAACAGGTTAATCCTCCCCGACCGTCCCGCCGGGGCTCTGACTCGTACTGGAGCCGGATCGGCGGGGGTTATCTGTGCTCTTGACCCAGCTCCCCCTTCACCCTCGCTCTCCGAATCTTCCTCGTCCCCTTCCTCTTGCAAAACATGCAACTTATACTCCTCAATGTGATCCGTCAAGGCACTGTTAAGCATCCTCACCACCTTCGCCTCTAGACCATTTGCCAATGCGTCACCGCCGGCCTCACCACTGGGCACAATCTAGGAATATCCTCCCCCAGCAGTTGCAATTCCCTCAACGAGTGCATGCGACACCCTTTCTCCCACCCCCAGGCTGAAAAGCCGAATCGCCCCACCGCTTTGCTTACGCATTTTTTGGATATATTCTAGTAGCTCTGGCAGCCTCCAGATCGCTCCGTCTGTAAGAACCATGATTTCGGTACTCATTCCCGGTTCCGAGTGTCTGCGGGAAAATGCTTGCATCAAGGGAGGTAATAGTTTTGTCCCACCATAACTCGCGTCAAACGTCTCGATGTGCTCGGATGCGGTATTCAAGGTTCCTTCGGTGTAGGCTTTGGAGCGCTCCCAGAGAAAGGTGTTCTTACTGCCGAAGGATATAATGTTGAAAAAGCAGCCTAACGGGAGAGACTTGAGGAATACACGGAGGGCTGATTTTACGTGCTCGATGGTGTCTCTCATAGAACCGGATCGATCGACTAGAAAGACTATTTCAGTATTTTCCGGTGTTTCCGTCCCTGGCATCTCGAAGCGCGGTGCAAGCGTTACTTTTAAAGCTTGATGACCGGGGATAGTTGGATGGGTTTCTAGCAGTGCCTAGGGGGTAGATATGAAGTGAGGAGTCACAGTAGTGATCAAAAGCACGAAATCTTTCAAAAGCTCAGCAGGTGTTTGAGACAGAGTGACCGAGGCCTCCTTGGGATCGTGCTCTTGGTTGTTGGCTCTCCCTTTCCCTTTTCCATGCTTTCCAAGCTCGACAGCTATTGGATGCGAAGGGCTTTCAATAGACTTTATCGCTTCTCCCATACCAACCTCGATCTCCATCCGGAGACTCTTATCCATCCATACCTCGGGGGCGCTCTGGCCAAACGCACCAGGCAGCGGTGGTCCGTACCTTGGCGCAATCGACAGCGGGACCGTGAACTTGATACCGTCCACCTCCGCATCATGTGGTAGCTCCAAAATGTACCCAATATCAACTTTAATCTTCACACCAGCGGGTATATTCCCAATACTTGTGGTGAAAACATCTGGGGTGTTATACTCCAACAGCCCAGCCATCTTCCCGCTGCTTGCAACCTTCTCATAAGCCTCCTTCGCGACTTCTTTCGGTTTTATGACCCCGGTAATAACCTTACTTTCACCGACTCTGCAAACGAAAGAGACGACGGAACAATTCGCCCATAGTGGGAACGTGTAGGTTGCTTTGGAAATGGGTCGGTTCCCGGGGTGGTAGAATACCTGTGTTAGTGTTGTCCTGGTGGTTGTCGTGAAGATTTGACATTGGTACGAGACTTGCACAAGTGGGAGGAAGACCTGCTGTCGTACTGGCGATACCGGTAGCGGATAATTGGCGTCCGTGTGTGTAGCCCACGGGCGGATATATTTACCAAATATTGAGACGAAGTTTCGGCGGAGGGTACCCGTGAGCGATGGTTGGTCCAGTTGCAAGTCGCAAATTGGGTCGCCAGGTGGGGGTACATCGTCTTCGGGAAAGAAGTAAATGCCGGAAGTGGGTGGAAGTGTCATATTGTTTTCCCCGGGGGGCTCCCGTTTTTTCTTAAATGGTGTCCGATAGCTCTTCAGCTTGGGGGGAATTTCAGGAATCTGACAACCTTATATTGGGTGGTCGGAGCTATTTGACGCAAAATATTGCGATTCTCGGGTGGCTCAATGCGGGTAGTGCCGATATGGCGAAACACACCTAGCCCAAGGGAAGTAGGTTCATCCACCCGCTGTGTCTGCCTAGAAAAAGCAAAAATGATCTTACACTTTCTCGCGCCAATGCCGGTGCGCAGTGGGGCTCCTCAGAACGACCACACACCCTCCCCGCTCTATCATGAGACTCGGTCGGTGAAGAAATTGGGATAATTTTTTTTTTGCAATCTTTTCCCCCCCTTCGTTGTCGGTGTCTTCTGGTAGTGTTTCCCTTCCCTGTCTGCCCCCTCCGAATTCTTGGGAAGGATTGTGCGGTTAGTCTTAGCCCAGGAACATTGGCACGGCTACTCGTAAATTTACAGTAGGGAAAAAGAAGGACCGAGGTAAATGATTCCTACAAAGGCGGTCTCTAATTCCAATCGCACTATCTCGGTTAAGCACCAGTGTGTGCCTAAATTTATAAGTAAAATATTCAGCTGGGTGCGAAGTCCCCTTGGCTATAAACAACCAATGCTTTTTCCATACAAACTCCCGGCGAAATGTCAAATTTCTTCCCCATCTCCGAGGCGAAAACGGCTGAGCCTCGGGTTAAGCAGCGCGAATGGGGGCTCTGTCGTTTGTTGTGCGGAAGGCCGTTTCCCTGTGTCCTCGAGCTCCCCCAAAGTGGTGTTGTCAAATATGTACAGCACAGCACTAATGTGTTCCACCCTGTACGAGTACTCGAGAGCAACTTGAATCACCAAACTTGACGCTAAGACAACGGAATTCTCCTCTATTAGCAAACAGGAGGAAATCACCATGCAAATACAGAGCCCCAGCCGAGATGGATAGAGTGAAAAACACGACAGACCTTGCTATTTGAGCCACCTTCAGCATCCTAACACCATTGATCTCTGTGTATGGTGGGCAGGATCCCAGTAACCCCGTATGAAAACACTACACAATACACGACAAAGAGCATATGCTCATGTGCCAAAGTCAGTCCGTGAACAGGACCCCAGAGGGGCGGAAATGAAGCTCATAGGCCATATGTGCATGCAGGGGCACATATGCCAAAAAGAGAAGAAGTTCCGTGAACGCTTTAAAGACGATAATTGGTGAATTTCATTTTCGAAGCTGCCAACTGGCTAAGCCCGAATTTTCAGTCATTGAGACTGCCGCCAACCACTGCATCAATTTTCACAGATTTTACCCCTGTCACAGTGGTGTAGCCTTCGGGCGGGACTGGCTGAGCAATGATAACAGGGCTACGGGAGGTGGTCTATATTGCGCGATATATAATATGAGGAAACAAAGTGCAATTGTGTTTGGCCCTGAAAACCTGTCAAGATAATCCCAAAATACATGCATAAATCTAAGATGGTGTGAGGGAAAATCCCAGAAAGTGAATTAATATGTGATAGTACAATAATTGATCGTAATGCGGATAGAATTAAAGCGATCTCAATAAACACAAGTAATTGATAAGAAATACACACATCATACTTAGTTAAGTTTGGCATAAAAATATGGGATGCGGTATCTGCTATCTTTTTACGGCATCCTAATCGGGTGCAAGAAATATTAATGAAATATCCATATCACAATGTCATGCTATAGTTGTAGTAATATCTAAGGCCTCTGCATAATCCTGAAACATTAGCCAAGTATGAGAGTAAGCAATATTTCCATTGAAAATATCAAAATCAAACGAATTAGAAATTGTAACAAGCTTGAGGCCCAACTGCAGGTATCCCAGCTCTTTCTGTATATTTGGGCATCCAGATTTCCTGCGAAGGTTGTCTGACGTGCCGCACCGGGAGTAGGTCAACCTGGGAAATGAACCAGTTAAGAGGCATTCTGAGTGGAAATCAGGAAAACTAGACTTCCAGATCCAACAGCAAGAAGAGAAGAGTGTGAAATATTCATGACAACGGTTCGGGTCGGTTGGATTCGCCTTTCCCACCAAAAGTCCGACCCGATCCAAGCCCCCCCGGCAAATTGTAAACCGGGCCTACCCAACAAGCCCAAGAGACCAGTGCATACCTGTTAAAGAGAAGAGGACAAGTAAAACCAACGATTCAGTCCGGGAGTCTGAAGCATCCACTAGACCGGAAAAGGTAAAGTGCTCCGGACAGGGGTAAAACCCCTTCAGCATCGGTGTAGTGATTAGCAACAGACTCAATGACTGAAAATTCGCGCTTAGCAGTTAGCAGCTTAGAAAATCAAAATTCACCAATTACCATTTTTAAAGCGTTCACGAAGTTTCTTCCCTTTTACCGTCTACTCGAGTATATACCCTGCATGTGCATATAGCCTATAAACTTCATTTCTACCCCCTCCGAAGTCCTGTCCACGGACCAACGTTAACACCCGGTCCGGTAACTCACGATCAGAGCCTCACATGTTGTTATCATCTCGCCTTAATACATATAATATAAAGTACCTACTATATGTCACCTATAGTCGCCAACTTTCTACTCAGCCTCTCTGCTGATCCATACAACTAGGAGTTCCAAGTGTCATAGCTAATTTTTCCTCTTTATTTCTGCCGAAGGTTTTACCAGAGTAGGGAACAGAAAGTGCACATTTGGCTCCGGGGTGTGAGAGTGTCATAAGTAAAATTAGCACCTGAGGTCTCCGCGTGCTCGGGCTCCCGAGATGTAGTATCGGGTTGTTGGCTTGGGGGGTCCTGGCGCGATACGGGATTAAGTTAAATCCGGGGATTTGCCCACTTCTGCAGACTTTCTCTCGCCTGTTAAACTCTATCGGCATCAGATAGAGAATAAACTAGAAAATTTTCTTTCCAATCCGAGCAAATATTTGAGGAGCAGGATGAAAGAGGGTTGTTCATGTTCATTTATTTATTCATTTTTATTTTTATCTCCCTTTCTCATTTTTTCTTACACTGGGTTTGCTCACCAGACCGAATGTGTGATCGCCCGAAATTGAACCCAGCGAGAGCACCCAATTTGTCTGTCCGTTCCTAGTGGCAAATCGATAAACAGGTGGTTCCATGACCGCTGAATAACTCTACATGCTGAAAGAGCTCTATCTCAGATCCATAGACTCAAACCACCATCCCCATTGTTGCAGAGAGCGCGCCCCGTCACCGATTCATTATAGAGCCACGGCCCGAGGCTTCCGACCAGCCTCCAAAATATCACGGGCCAACCGAGTAGCTTGCGCCCAGCTCAGCCCTATAGCACACACGGCTTCCTCCAAACTCGGTATAATAATTGCACGATAGTATGGCATACTAAGACTTATTTTTTTTGTTGTTATCTGACCCTTGCGATATCTACTGCCCCAACTCCCCTTCCGTCCTTATTTTGAACAGACCCCATGAGCTCGCTGCACTTATAGCACCCAATTTTCTCTACCTGGGTTCGGTTCGGGTCTTCTTAATTTCAACCCCGGCCAACCCCATCGGAAGTTTAAAGAAATCACACTCAGTGGTAGGCTATCGAAGTGCCAGTCCATAAGCGCGACTTGAACGGCTGCAGACCGCCGGTTATGAGAGACGGAAGTAACCTCAACGGCGAGGACCGGAGAGGGCTGACCATCACCCCCTTGACCCCTTGTCCTTTGCGCGAACCACAAGGCCTCTTTATTGCACAAATGGTTGCTAAATTATTGGGTCTAGTGCTTATCCGCCAAGCATACTAGCTTCCTTTCATCTAGTTTCTCCTAGCACTTTCCCCACCACTCACTTTAACCTCAGCCACTGTTTGGGTTTTTCTTCATCTCTTCTCCTCCAATGTCTTTTCAATTTCCTTCTTCCGACGTTCTCATATCACCTTCCTCAGGTTTTTGATATTTCTTCCCTTCCCTTGACTGTTCAGTCTAGCATAACACCCACAGCTGCGCATGTGGTAAGAAAGTCAAGCTTCTTCCTCGAAAGCAGTCATACCAATTCACATGAATCGGGAGTGATCACCTGTGACGCACCCTGCTCCCAGCCATATTTACATCTAGTAAGTCCCGCCAGGCAAGGTAGGGAGCAGAATAAGAGCAGAGAACTCCTTAACTTTTCAAACAGAAACTTCGATTTTACTAGGCAAGGTAAATACCTGTACCTAATGACCAGAGGCAGCTACGAAAATAAAAATATTATATTTATAAAAATAAGGTGTCCAACAGTGAAAACCTTAATATTATACAGAGGGATGTATCATCTGAGCCGGCTCCTCCGGTATGATAAAGTTTGATACTTTTTTACCCTTATACGTTTCTCAGAGGACCAAGCAGGTCCCCTTTCACCATGTTGTCCGCCCCTTTTCCAAGGTAGGAAATTCCCAATCGCTATCATACACTCAAATTGTCCAAGAGAGAACTCCTAGTTCGACGCGATAGCCACCGACGAATCCCTCCGAATAATGCCGTACCATATCTACCCGACCCCCCAAGCACCCTCTCATGCCTAAGCGCGTAAGAGCTAAATGACACACGGAGACGCATAAACACCAAAAAGAACGAAGAAACCTCAATAAACAGAAATACGGGAAGGGTTGAGATATATGGGAGGAAGGGAGGAACCAAACGAATACCCAAGTCGCTCCCGTACAGTACCCCACGAGCCTCGTCCAGGCGAATGACACGAAGAAGAAAAAAATCTTGTAATATGATATCCGGGATGCGCTTTCCCCCGGGCGGACTCTTCGAGATGCGATACCATAGCCCGAAGTGCGGAAAAAGATAAAAGGAGCACGTGGGACTGGAATAAGCTACAAACGGGGATTTTTCAGGCCCACTCTCTCGCAATGCCAGCAAGACTACTCAATCCACATCACCATGATGCAGTCGCTAGAAATTTATCCACAAACAGCAGCTGGAGCTCCAGTGATACCAATACTATATCTCCCCATTTCGCCGGAGGACCTTCGGGCGACAAGCAAGTGCGCCTTCGCCAAGAAAAATAAGCATGATAACTTCACTGCGATCATACTAAATTATACCGGTATTTAGCCAAGAAAATCACAATATCCCACTCGATGACCTGCCCATTCCCTATGTTTTCCAGAAAACCCCGTGATTGCATCGAAAACGGCCGGTATCAGTAGGAGAGCCGCTGTGGAAACGACCATTGGCGCAGGAATACCGGAGGTGCACGGGCGGCGTGAGTTTCAAAAAGGGAATTCTGGAATCCTGCACTCCTATTGTCTACCGGGAAAAATGTATATATTGTGTGACTCCCGCCGGTGTTATTACTCGGCCAAGATAGTAGTGTAAGATGTTACGAGGGTTGATTTCGGATTTCGCTCGGAGAACTGAGGAATTCCCATAGGCATCAACCCAATTCACCAGCAAAGACTCATTCCACTGTCCCCCACCCCAACTATCATACACACCGAAGCAGAGAGTCGAAGGTCCTCACTCACCCCGTTTCCACAACTTTAAGATGAGGCTTACCTCTACCCAAAGGAGTGAATCAACATAATTCACGAGAACCCAACCTGAACCGAAGCAAATCCAAGTCAGTCAGAATCATGAGACTATCCACTACATCACACCTAGCTACCATTGTGGTGGCGTGTGTCCTTTCCCCCTTTAGCACCCATAATTTCACGATATTCGTTGGGGGAGTGGAGGCTAAGGGAACCCGTTGTTGGGAAGTTCGCTCATAGTAACATAGAGCAGCCCGAGCCGGGGCTACCTCCCCCAAAGTCCTCTTACCCTAATGTCAAAAGATAGTAGCAGGATATTAAAATTGTAGTGCCGTAGATCTTTTCTAGCTCAATCCCTAGAAGCGGAGCCAATAGTGTTGATACTCCATACAGCGGTTAGGGGAGCTCCCCCGCCCATCACCTCCACCATCTCCATCATCTCTGATAGAAGTGACCGCTTTCAGGTTGTCAAAAGGTGCTACTAACTAGACCAGCGCTCATTCAACAAACAACAACTACCGAAGAGATAGTTATCACAGCTCGTATTTATTTGGAACTAACTGAGAGCATCGAAAAGGAGCATCATGAAATTACACGCAAATTATTCCCACCCAGAAAGCAAGCTACACAGACAATGTCTTGCTTTATAGCACCGGTGTATAGTAGAAAGCATGTTCGTCCGTTAACACTTCCAAATCTCTTCACTCATGTTTACCAGCCACCACCGCCGCCTCCAACAGGCTCAACATTGGAAGCCCATCCACCGATAGTTTCAGCAAACGAGTTGTCCACAGCTCCGCCTCCCCAAGCACCGGCAGCCCCTGACTGAACCACTTCGATGCGGGAATTTTCGGCAGCATTGAAGGATATTTCGGGTTCCCCGTCACCCTGTATGATGGCTGGGTTGGTACACCCCTTAGAGAAATGGCCCACTATCGGTAGTTAGCTTCCGCCCTAGACCTCAAGTAGCAGGTCACTTACTTTCTCCGCAGTTATTGCACTTGACACGACTATAGAGATATTTAGTTAGTGCGGCTCCCCAGAACCAAGATTGGGTCCACTTACGTGATATCTCTGGGCTTTGGACAGTCTTTTCCAATATGCCCACGCTCATCGCAGTTGCGGCATTTCGGAACGCGCTCGTTGGTGCAATCCTAGACTCTGTTAACCAAGACCCAACGTTGATAGGGACACCGTCAAAGCAATACCGAAGAACGGTGGCCCTCTCCGCCACAATTATAGCATTCACTATTACCGCCAGCCCCACGCTCAGGGCATTCCTGTGGTAGGGTCAGCACAGACGCTCAGACATACATCATGAAGCAGAATTCTCACTTTGCTAAAATGACCCACTAGTTTTGAAACCTTGTTATCAGCATCGGAAGAGAATACGGCAGGATTAAGAAGTTACACATACTTTTGCCGCATTTGCGACATTCAGTATTTTCATCTGCCTGGCGAGGAACGGTACAATCAGACGCTCGATGGCCCTCCTCACTACTCGGAGACTTGGTTAGCCCTTCCCCAGGGACAGAGAGTACAAACACTTACCCGCAGTTTCTACACGCATTGCGGTTCACCTCAACCTTTCTCGGTTCAGGGCAGTCACGGCGGCGGTGATCAAGAGCATCGCAGTTCGTACACTTCAGGACAACACGACCCATTTCGTCCTCCGGACGTTCGACCTCGCATCTCTTGCTTGTGTGACCCTTGGCTATGACAACAAAAAGGTTAGCGTGTTCAAGAATCCCCAACCTAGCCAGGATACTTCATACGTACACTTGCAGGTATGGCAGAACGGCTTTGTTTCAGGCATAATTTCACCAGCAATCTTCAGACGCTCCATGTTCTCTTCCGGAGTGCTTGCCATACGGTGGGCAATCGCCCTCGAACGGCGGGGCCTAGCAGAAGTATTTAGGGTCCAGACATATTTGCAGTCGAGCTCGCCGGAAGGTCCAACAATAACTTCGTTGTAGGCCGGTTCACGCTCCTAATAGAATGGTTTAGATGCTAGCTTACTTTTATAAGAGGGGGATCAGACCAAGGCATAAATCCAGTAATTCAACCCTTGAGTACGCATAGCTTTTTCAATTTCATCAAGCTTAGTGCCGGGGGAGGCTTTTAGGTATTCCAGCATATGCTACCCAAACCGTTAGCAAAACCTGCATCTCCCAAGATGTCTCCTTACACAATGTAATACCCGTTTGAAGCTATCGAAATCCTTGCTATCGCTTGCCTTCATCATGAGATCCCACGCCTCTTCTTGAGATCTATCAATAATATGACTGAGATCAAGTTTACGAGGATTAGTGCACACGGCGGTATAATGGCCTATAAAGAATTTGTCAATACCCTCAACCAAAAAAAAAGATACAAAGATTGAATAGCCCAGGGAGGTTGAACCTTCTTGTTCACAGTTGCGACATATCTCTGTGGGTTTTTCAGGACACTCGCTTTATTTCCAAGCTTTCAGCACATCACCATCTTAGACTAGTAGGTAATACCAATACTCACCGAGAAAAATGTCCTGAAAAACAAAGTCAGAATCCGTTCAGATATACACTTTTATGGGTAGAAAAACGAACCTTCCTTTTCACAGTGACGGCAAGGGCCTTGAGGGATACGAGGATTTGGGCATTCAGACTTATTATGCCTGGGAGTCATGTCAGCTAACACTCATGAACTGAATACAACGATGTGGTATGCATGCCCTTGCTCCCCGCAATTGAAGCATGCTCCGGAGTTGGCCGGCTTATCAGGGCACTCCCTCGAGAAGTGACCTGAACACCTCTAACGTCAGTCCTAGCTCAGAAAACCCACTGGCGTAGTTAAATAACAAACCTTCTTTTTCACAATACCGACAGGGTCCTTGAGGAGTAGCGGGGTTAGGACAATCAGATTTGTTATGTCTAATGAAATCATAAGTAAATATCCTCGGAAATACTTTAACGGGGGCGATAGATATACCCTTGCTCTCCGCAATTGAAACAAGCTCCAAAGTTAGCAGGTTTGTCGGGACAATCTCTCGAGAAATGGCCCTCCTTAGAGCAACTAGAGTTCGAGGTTACCGGTCAGCCGCTCAAGCCCAAAATAAAATCGCGGTGAAGCAGCTTACATGCGGCATTTCACATCAGCAGCGGAGCCACCATTGGCATCGCCACCGGCATTAAAAGTGTCATTTCCGTAATCACCACCACCGCCAGTACTAAGAAGTTGGTCGATTGGAGCACTAAGTCCTGCACTCCAGGATGCCCCAGTATCTGCCACGACAGGCGCGGCAGCCTCAGCACCCCAAGCTATTAAATAAAGAAGTTAGAATAAATCTTTGTTCTGAACCGAAAAGATAGTCATTGAAAAACAATGTCAAATAAAAATCAAACAAGAAGAGAAAAACAGAAGCAGAGTGGCCCCTCCAGAAACGCCCAAACATTCAGGCTGAAGATGACCCAAGAAAGCAACCATTTCACTCAAACTCGAGAACAAAGAAGGGGAAACAGAAGCAGAGCAATCGTGGGTTGCTTTGTGGAAATCGAACAAGAGAAACATCAATTATAACTTACAGCCACCGCCGCCACCAGAAGCCGGAGCGGGATCGTCCCAGCCAGACATGTTTGATGATTGTTTGACGATTGTTTGATTTTCTTTCACCTATCGAAGATCGTGGTGAAAGTGTGAAGGTTGAAGGTGATCGAAAAAGTCAAGGTGTCAGAAAACCCGAGAAGAATAGGGATGTAGATGAAAGGGGTAACAGTGGGGAGCGGAAGGAGAGAAATAGGCCAGGCGGGGAGGGAGGGAGGAGGGAGGGAGGAGAGAGGAGGGACGGAAGAGGGGGAAGGGAGGGTTGGGGGATAAGAGATAAGATATGATAAATGGGAGGGTAAAGGTTTGTTTGAGAGAAGGCGGGTCGGGAGAGCAAATGCCATACTCTTTGAAGCATGATATGATGATAGCCTACGCGTCATCCCGACAAACATCCTGTCAAGAGGCTTCTACCCTACCGCGCAAGCACTAAACCGTGGATATGCATAAGCACATAAAAATTTTGGTTTAGGCATGATACAAGGAATTTCACTCAAAAGAAGGCACTCTTTTGTGCTCCTAATCAATTCCTTTTCTAGGTCAGGTCCCCAACTTGAACTCCGGTAAATTCAGTGGGCGAAAAAAAACAATTCGCGATCTCTCTTTAGTTTGTTCTGTAGAAACTCTGTGAAACATTAGAACCATAAGTCACTCGTGCGGCTGTTTGGTTGGGTCAACAAGTCGATTCTCACTCGCAACCTCCAGAATACTGAGTCACAGCCTATCCACACCTAAAAGGGGAGCAACGAAAGCCTCCAAATTCCACTCCTGAAAACAATGCAACAGTAACCGTTCGGAGCAAACCCCAGTTAATTTTCTTAAAGTCTTGAGAAATTAAAATCGAGCGTCCCGTGCGGTAAAGTACAGAATGCACACAACCAATGGCAAAGCCCTAACCCGGAGAGTGAGAAATCATGATTCATTCCCCCAAACGTTTCTCTAAAACCGCATAATATTATTATATATTATTATACCATTATCCGCTAATCAAGGCTATCTATGATACAGGTCCCACGCCGAGCCTACCCCCCGTCATGCCGCTATCAGAGTCAAGAATTTAGCAAAGAAAATCAGACAAGTCCTCCATAAAGGTACACCCGCCGTAAAGTCCTAATACCCAAGTTCCTTGTCCCCGGACACTACCTATCAGTAATTGACAGAACAGCAGCCTTTTAGCTCACTGCCTCCATATATATCTCCAAGGGCACCACAATTAGTTTCCTACTAAACGACGGAAATATCTAGAGGAACATTTCCACCGGGCTGTAGTGCCTAGAGGGGTATTGGAACCTTGTGGACCGAAATCAATAAAAGTAACCATAACCAATGCCTGTCCATGGTAACCACAATCTATACAGTATTACCAATATTGACCTCTATAGGAATAGTACCACTTACCGGTGTGACAAATGTTCGCTGAAGTAGTAGATCTAGTGAACACCAACCATCCAGACACATCTCCCCGACACTAACAGACACTTTCACTATTCTTCAACCCCGGTATACCACTTCGCTCCACTCTCTAACTCCTATTGATCCCTTAACCCGTAAGTCCAAACAGTGGGAGATCACAAACTATCATTCATCCTCCTCGCGGCACCCCCTCTTTTTCCACAGTGTCACCCCCGCATTCTCGCATAAATTCCATAGTCAAGTACTGCTCATGATCTCTAACTCTCCTCTGTAGTCTTTGACTCTCCTTCACGATATTTCACTAATCCGCACTGTCCCCCCAGATGCCTTGCCGTCTCCATCTCCCCTGTGGTCTTCCACCAACCCCTACCGCGCCCCCCCCATAGTCGCTGGCGCTGAGAACACTCCGAAGGTAGGGCTTGAAAATCATAGCGAAACCCCGTGGTGCTCCACCATTTCACCCCACTGAGAGCGCACCCCCCCCTTCCCCGGTCCAGTTCCCTTTGCAGTCCCCCTGCAGTTCGCATAGGGCTCCCGGACGATTTGTAACACCGAGCGCTACCGGTACATCCAATAAACTGAACTACCCCCGGTCGTGATAGATCTATAAGACTAAAAGTCAGTAGAGAATACTTTGCTCCATTTTCTCAAGAATAAGCGCAAAGGAGGTATCACGAAATAATCTGCAAAGAACTTCTACCAAGGAAATTCGACCCGGGAAGCAAGATACATAGACAATGATTTTGCGTTGCAAAAGTGGTAGAACAGTGTCATATCATAGTAAGAACGTTCCGTCCAAGCCAAATACACCCGCAAAGTGAGGTCTTAGGTCTCAGTAATTCCAAGGTGCCCCAATACCTAAACCCCTCAGAAAAATCAGCCATGACCATTCTATGCAAACATTCCAAGTCGATTTTCCCTTTTATAAAGGTGTCTTCCACACCTTCCTCTCTTTCTTCCCCCACTTCCTCTCTCATATCCTCATTCTCACTGGCATATCATTTTCTCATTCCAAATGCTTTCATATATCTTTTCCAAAATCTTTGGCACGTCTCCTAGGCGTGCCAGGACTTTCAGAACTCCCTGCATCGCTCCCACCTCCCCTCCTGTATCCCCTCCGCCTCCGCCTCATATCCCTGTTTGTCCTGTGTATACCTGCTCCCCTTCCCCTCCTTCCCCATCTTCCCCATCTTCCCCATCTTCCCCATCTTCCCCATCTTCCCCATCTTCCCCTTGTTCTCGTTCTTCCCCACCTGCCCCTTCTTCCCTTTCTTGCATTTCTTCCCTTTGTTTTAGTTCATCTCCACCTGCCCCTTCTTCCCCCCCTCGCAGCCCTTGTTTCCCTTTCTACCCTCTCCTCCCCCCTCTTTCTACTTCCCCTACCCCCCCATCCCCTCCCCCTCAGAAATTCTCTAATGATTTAGCTAGATATAGCAAGTCATTAGACCCCTCCGTGTTTTCACAGGAAACTGCTGAAAACACTGACCCCTTAAGTAGCATCCCCTGTCTTATCCCTAAAAAGGTTGAGAGCGCTTCTAGCGGGCAGGGGATCACAGCGGAGGGGAAGAAGAGGAAGACCGTCCGGTTTGACCTCTCAGCCAATACTCTCCATAAGTATGACTGGTCGACCCTGGGCCATGATAACTTTCCGGAGAAGCTGTCAGATGAGGAAAAGCATGGCTGTATGTTACAGTACAGAAGGGCTATCCTACAGCGCTATCCAGGCCTCCCTCCAGGAGTCTGGCGTGGCTATGTTGGCAACTTTGAGTATGCCTATCTGACATATGAGGAAGAAAGGGAGAGGGTGAAGGAGAAATGGGAGGCAGAAAACTTGACAAGAATCTCCTGTTGGACTTCTATGCCAATGCTTGCTGCTTGCTCTGCTCTCTGGTTACTCTGCCTTCTGATCTCCTCATAGGTAAGTATTGATAAGGTAAGTTTTTGGCTGCATTGAGTGTGGGAGAGGCTCCAATCTTACCTGTGGGGTACTCTTCTGCGCTCATAGATTAATCACCTCATGGTGAGTCCCTGTGCGGTAGTGGGGAGTGCCTAAAATTGCTCCTTTTCACTACTGTACCCAGGATACATATTTACTAGTTTAGAAATATATATGTACTTTAGTATAAATGAGATTACTCACAACCCGACATCGCTGCAGAGTATCTATACATCAACATAATCTTCCCATATCATTCACCATTTTTACCACTATCAACCTTTCACCCCCAACATCCCGCCATCGTAAACCAAACAAGCAATCTACCATTCCCCTTAAAACAACACCTTCCATTAGAATACCTCCTCCAACCTCACCCTGGGATCGAAGGGCGATATCGACAAAGGACAAGCCACGTCTTTCCTCGATTCCCCCACTCAACACATTTCGCCACAGAGCGACCCTACCCGCACTAGTAAACAAAGTCTATACAAACCGATACGACAGATCGAAGCAACACCCCCCAATTTACCCAAACCGCAGATACGTCCACGACCCCAAATGCTTCATCGAAGCTTCCATCTTCACCTCAGTAGAGTTTCTACACAGCTAATGGTAGCACAAGCCGCGCCACCCATTTCCATTCCTCTTCTTTCCCGTCCCATTCATCACTTCACGCACCTCTGCATAAGCATTCCACCAACCAAGGCGTCCAGGAGAGATCAAACGCGGATAACAACCTCTAAGGAACTCCTCAACACCGCAGCCCACAAAATCCGCCACCCTATTTACCTTCCCTCCCCGTCCGAGCAAGCCAGATTTCACTCAACTCCACTACCATCCATTACCGCAACAACAGGCCTCAACTAGCAGTATCATACACAAACTCCCCAGCGCACCGAGTGACGCCTGATGACCAATATATAGTACCGTATTTACCGCAGCAGCCGGAGCATAAAACCTCCCGCCAAGTCATCCGGAATTCCTCCTTTAGTAAAAGAGAAAGCCACCCTCAAAAAAAACCTTCCCCGACTTCCAGCCCTCCGCCGAGACAAAGTGAAAAGAAAAAAAAAAAGTTAGCAAACCTTACCTGGAAAGGCAACTGCAACGATTTAGCGTGAGGTTCTATGATATCACACGTTAGCGGTATTCCCGCCAACAATTATCGGAGCGCTGCCTGCCGCAATACCCGACCCGCCCAATCCCATGTCTTGGTATGTACAGTACGATACAGTACCGCATCCACCCCACCGAAAAGAAAAGAAAAAAAGAAAAAAAAAGAAATAGCTCAAGACACTGGTAAGCATACCGTACTCGCTCGAGCAGTCTTAACACTGCCCGTAAATTGCTGTAATTACGCGCAAGAAATGGTACTTGTACTCGAGTACTCGTAGGAGATCTGTTCCGTGGCCAAGCCCCAAACCGGTAACCGTGTCAGGCTTTGGTTTGGGATGGGGTGGGATGCATGACTCCTGCACTCGAGTACTAAATGTGCTACAGGTATGGGCGCACACTACGCGGCATGAGCGGCTATCGGGATATTTCGAGTTGTGGTTCTCATGGATGTCATGGGTGGATTTACTATCATATTATGACTATGGGACGGAGGTGGTGATACAGCATTGCCCATCGTTTAATTTTGCGACAATATACAAGAACTGAGAAACAGGAATGAAGGAATAGAGAAAGGGGCGGGAAGAAAGAAGGTGAAAAAAGGGTGAACGGATAGAACATTAACCAGCGGTAGTGATGACCATAAAAACACTTAAAAGATTCCATTGACGATCCTGGTTCCGATGGTAGCGCCCTTTAGAAAATTTGGGCATTAGCGAATAATCCACCACTCCCACAAGAATCCGAGAAGCGATGGGGGGATGGGGGGAAACATACAGCGCCAAAAATCGCGGCATTCCCCAGCTTCTTTCCAAACTTCTCACCATTCTTCCCAACAACGCCCCCCCTTTCCTCTTGCTGCTGCTGCCCGCTATTCCCATGCGCAACATCCGTCATCATGTTCCCTCCAGGTCCATACCCACTACTTGTAGCCCTTGGCGGCAAGTTCGGCAAGGGGGCCTTCTCCTTCCCACCCGCAGCGAGCACACGCGTCTCTTTAACATAGCTGGACGGGAACAGCCCGATCTCACCATTTCCACCAGCAATCCTGCCCCTCCACCAATCGTCCTTGATCTTCTCCAACACTTCAATAGTGTCGCCGGCCTTGAAGGCCAAGTCGCCCTTCTCACACCCGACGAAGGCCCACTCCGCATTTGCTAGCGAGAGGACGAGTGCCGTGGGTGTATAGCTTGGCGGTGCGGGTGATGGGGGCGCCTGGGTCGCGATTGGAAGGTGCTTTTCCGAGAGGGGAGTCTTGGTCGAGGGGGGAGGGGAGAAAGTTGGATGAGGGATTGCGGGAGTGGTGGTATGTGGAGCTGGGCCCGGGGCGAGGGTTGGTGGGGAGAGGGTAGCGGCGGAGATGTTTAGCGCTTCTCCTGCTGCTGGAAGCTCCTCGATGATGGTACGAAAGGTGGTGGCGGAGATTACGTTTGTGTCTGCGAGGAATTCGAGCTCCTGGATGGGCATTTGCGAACATTAGTATGTTCCAGAGGTAAAGAGATGAGGTGAAGCTATGAGGACGAACAGAGACGATATTCCGGATAGACCGGTTGGCGAGGGCAGCCATGTGGTTCGAGGACATGGTGACGATGGTGGAGCGATGCGCGAGGAGAAACTTTGAGGAAAGGGCTCTGCAGAGGAAATATAGTACCGTGCTGTGCTCGTACTGTTATGTTGTTGTTTAGTACGCAGAAAAGACAATTCAGTCGGCCACACTCGCATAGATCAGGGGGGAGGACGAATTTATACGGGAGATGTTGCCAAAAGTTCCTGGTGGTCGAATTTCCGCCAAATTGGCTGTGCATGAGCCACCGTTTTCAGGTCGGAGGAAATGTAATAAATGTTTTCAACAGGGTATTATCTCAGGTGATAGTCTTATCCCTCCGCCTGGGGTTTATTATGCGGAATGTTCTAAGCGCTTCATACATTTTCTGAAATCCACCTTGTTCTAGACCCCACCGGATAAAACCCAAGGTAGTCTACGGTATCATACCTGTACGAGTATGATACTGTGGTGATCCCATCGTTCCCATCCGGCAGCTGCACCTTTAATTCAAGAAAACAAACCTCCATCCCTCTATCAAGTGCTCCGGTCACAGAAGAAATAACAGGGGGAAAGGAAAAAAGGAACAAAAATGTTTTCCCGAACCCCCCGCCTCCTCCCCCACTCCCACAGACCGGCACTGGTATTCAAGCAAGCAACAACACCCCTCCCGTCCCTAGCCACAGCCAAATACTCCAGCAAAGAATCCCCAACACACGCCTCAAATTCAATTCCGAAGCTGGACAAGCCCACACAATCATACCCTGGTATCCAAAGATCTGGGCTTCCGAATCCAGCGCTGACAAACACCCTCTCCACGAACGCCCCAGGCAGCCTGCAGGAAGCCGGCTTCGCAAATGCCCCGCCAAAACTCCTCTCTTCGACCTCCGAGGTGGCTAGAGAAACAAGCCCACGCAAACACAATGACCCGGGCCCCGGCCTCGCTGGTTCCTTCGGTGGCTCGGCTCCCGAACTCTCCATCGGCGAGCTAGCCTCCACCGCGGGATTCCGTATCGAACCGCTCCCCCGCATGGGCGAAAGTATACGTATCAAGCGCTCCCGTCTCCTCTACCAATCCCGCAAGCGCGGCATCCTTGAGACTGACTTGTTACTGTCTACCTTCGCGGACGAGAATCTGGGAAAGATGAGTATGGCGCAACTAGATGCGTACGATAGGTTCCTGGACGAGAATGACTGGGATATATACTACTGGGCGACGCAGACGCTCCCGGCTACTGGCGTTGGGCACACCGAGGGGGCGGGTAAAGAAATGGCCAGCGTGAGCGCGGAGAGGGGGGGGGAGGAGGGGAAGACGGAATACGGGCAAGGAGAGTGGGCGCAGACCATTGGGAGGAAGAAGGAGCCGTATAGACCTCCACCCAAGAGGTGGGCGGGAAGTGAGACGTTGGAGATGTTGAGGAGACATGTCAAGGAGAGGTCTGGTGGTGCGGATGGCGGAAAGGCGATTAGGAGGGGGTTAGGGAGGATGCCGGATGTTAGAGAGTTCTAACATGTGCTACTTTGTCCCGTGGTGCTGGAGATGGAAAAATAAGAGCCGGAAGGTCGCCTCTTCGCTATTTAAGGCCCCGCTTTGTATAGAGCCCACCGGCACCGCGCTCCATAATACGCGTCTACTGACAGAAGGTCATCACCAATCACTCGTTCAATTAGAAAAGTGAACTCTCAGCCTCTCGCCCAATCGGTCAAGCGTGGGTTCATCCAGCAACGGCAATCACATCTGACAGTCTCGGAGCAGCCATGGAGGTTCCGACTTTGCGATCCCGTTTATCACACGAGAGCACTGGCCCCTCCGACGTCCACCTCGTCATTGGACACCACACGACAATAAAAGCTACGTACGGCACGATAAAATCTCTAGAGTGGGCAGCTTGGCATCAATTCCAAATTCCCAAGTCCACACATTTCACATTCTTATCCAATCCAGACCTGCCGGCCCAACCAGCATTCCAGAAAATCACCCATCGTTATCATGAATTGGCCGACCAAACAAGAGTAACCATACGGTTCCCAATTTTATGTTAACACCATCCAATCCCAAACCACAGCACATTTTTTTAATAGAAGGGGGAAAAGTTACAACTAAAATAAATAGGATCCAGACAAAAATGGCACAATTCCAGCATACGAAGAGGTACCAACCCAGTGATAAGACAAGTAAATTGTTTCGTGAGAGACGCGCTACCTAGATAAGGTGTTTCGATCTGTTGGGAGGTATGTTAGCGTTTTCCAAGGGGAGAACCAGACAACCTCCCGGGAGAGTGGGGCGGAATAAGACTAACCTGAAATAAGCCCTCAGATAAACAACTTGCCAGCCACCAAGCCCAACTAGTGTTGCCATAATAGCCAAAGCAAAGTACTTGACCCTCTCATTTGTAGACTCGTTGGTGTCTCTAAGCTTCTGTTCCCTAGTCCTTAAGTATTCCATCTGATTGACGATTTCTGAGACAACCTCCTCGATGCGTCGTAGTTCAATCTCAACCGGCTTCAATTTCTCCGCAGCTTGGATGGCAGACCAGTCACGGGCATCGGCACCAATATCCACGTCAAGTTCCACAGAGCGAGTAAGGCCAGCATGACGGCCTATAATTTTATCAGTCCCATCCACAAAACCGAAAGTGAAAAAATCTAGAGGAAAAGGAGGAAACCTACCATCTGCAATGTTATTCTCGAAGCAAACATCAAAAGCTGAATCTGCGTGAGGAGTAAATGCCATCCTGGCTTCACCGACTACATCCTTTGGCCGTCCATACTCATTCCCAACCGCATCTCGAATCTATTCAATACACATTAGTTTCACAGCCGATAGACCGATCCGGAGGGAAGAGTAGATAAGTTCGTACGTGAATGTTAACCTGCTGCCCATCGCCTTTAACCCCGCTAACCGTAGCCGTTACAACAACAAGAGTATCCTTCGCAACAAAGTTTCGAATACACCGCTGGCGATGACCCCTTTGCTGCGCGGCAATGTCGAACTTTAGAGCGGTGGAGACGATCGAGAAGAGAGAGATAGTTAACAGGAAGAGAGAGCTGATGCTCGGCCGTAAGGCTGACGGCGTCATTCCAACTATTGTTGCTTGAAGGTTGCCGGAGGTGAATGGCACGGTACGGTAACGTAGATGAGAGGGGAGGAAGGTAATCGTAGGGTTTGAGGATACTCTTTAAAGTTGCCGGAGAGAGACTTAGGAAAAGGAGGTTGTGGAAATGTGGTTTTTAGATTGAGTGTGGCGGTGATCAGCCACAGTGGGCGAGGCAGCGCCCGGGATCGCGGATCCCTGTAGGTGCCAAGATTTGAGACCGAGGCAAGTTGGTGTTTGGCTCTAGAACGCGGGTAGCGGTATCATACCGGTATGATAGGAGCACCTCGCGGGCTGTGGCATTGAGGTGACTGTAATAAATCACAATTAGGTTGAACCACAGATAAAGAAAGAGCTGGGCAAGTTACTTCCGAAAAGGGTCAATACTTGCACAGGAAGCTATTAGAACACCAGCCTTGATTTGCTTGAAATACCGTGTGCTACGTGATGTGGCAGGGTAACACCCACTGCACTTTTCCCCCAATCTACCGACCTCCATTCTCCACGGGTTTTTACGCTTTTTCTTTTTAAACCGTCTTACTACTGGTGCTCAGGCTCCAAAGGTCCGCTAATTTGCGAGTTGCCGAACCTATGGTCCGACATCATGTGTGTTCTACTTAGAATTCGCACAGAAGGCTCCCCACACCGGACACCGAGGCCCGCCGGTCCCAATGACAAACCCCAAAGGACGACTACGAGATTCCTCGCTCTGTTGTAAGCACCCTGAATGTTTTGTGATTCGATTTTTCAATGCAACATAAATCGTCAGGCACACCTTTAGCTACCCCTAGGTGCTTTGAAGGTTGCCAGAGAAAATGAATGAGTCTGGAGGATGCAGTGCTAACAGGCCATGACAATGGTCCCTTGGAAATAGACACCCTGAGGAATGAGGCCAGAGCACAATACGTTGCGATTGCGTGTTTCTACCCTGGCTCCGCCGCTCAGACGGAGCGGTCCCCGAGTGATATGTTGGGGGCCATACTTAAACGGACTGTGAACGGTGCGGAGGCGGTCCCTGAACTAATAATTGTGCCCTTTGGGTAGTAGAATACAGCATGGCTATTGGTGGTCGGGTACTAGGGGTTACGGAAAGTGCGGAGATACCACGATCATTTTCCCCGCGCAGCACACACCAACCTGCATTGGCGCTTTGGGCGAATGTGCACTAGAGCATCGACTCAAGACCCTGGATGTACTACAATAATCCAGACCTTCCCGGGCACCAAAATATTCCAGACTGGAAGGCTCTATATTCGGGGTGAGATCGGGGGGCGTCTAACAAGGAGACTTGATTCTCCAATGAAAACCGTGGCTGTGATAAGAAATGCGCCACTTCAGGTATTCAAAATCTGGACCTTCATAGCTAAGCCTCAAACTAGGCTTCTCTCGAAGCAGCCCGCACCCCCCCTCTAAAACATGAAACCCTCTAGATTCACCCTAGTTATGGGCAATGGATTACAGACACGGCCGTTATTACCGGATCCTCGAAGGTCAACTCGTCTCAAAATGAGATTTCTCCCGACCCAATTATTCGCTAGAAGTATAAGCGGTGCCTTATCTCTGTTATCCCGGACGTCAGTTACAAGGCAGCCATGTTTGACACTAATATCTAAAGGTACAGTGGATAGAATTCTACTGGATCTATTGTGCTGAAATCCGGCCGAGCCCTCGTCTATCTGAGAGGGACAGGTAGACCAATCTTCGAGCATGATTCCCCACCAAGAACAGTAATGGCGGTCGAGATCCTTGCTGGTCAGTATGCGCAAGGGAGGTTTTTATAGGAGACGTCCACTCAATTGAGAGGGCCTGTCTAAAAGTAATCAATCCCACAACGAGAGAGAGATGGCATAGTTGCGGAGATAATATCACTAGCCGAGTTATGTTATCAATAGTGATTCGCGGAGACCAAGGACAATTCTATCTGTCTGAGAGCGGAGGAGTGTTCGCCGGGGGAAAACAGCTAGAGATGAGCTAATAAAAATATGATTGAATTGAGATTTCTCTTTCTCTTTTCTTATTCCCCCTTTACACTCTTTCCGCTGGAAGCACTTAGCGTTTCCACCACAGGGGGGGGTTCTTTCTCCCCCCTTTAGACTATCTCTACCCACACGGTCAGTGCTGTTACTGTATATATGCAAAGGAGGAATACCTCCCTATTTATCCGGCTATAGCTTGATATACATCACAATCCTCCAGCAAGGCGGTTGCATAGGCCCCTATTGCCCATGATATGGTATATCGGAGGGCCTGATATACAGCATAGGCCACGGAACGCACAGGAATATCAGCGCAGTTCACGCCATGCCATATACCGAATGATGTTCTGTTCTAAGATAATACTAAGCTCAGAACTTCGTACTTTGAGAGACCTTTGAGAGTATCTCTGCTCCTGAAACAAACCCCGGGCACCATTTTAGAAACTAGAGTTGATGTACGGTACTCCCGAGGCAGATCAAACCACTCCTAACACTTGCGCAACGCCTACTACCACAATCACAATACCGGTACCAGTATCCATACCACATAGCGCCACCCCTCCAGCAGCATCGCATTTTACAATCACGCACAATCACTCGTGTATTACATCTCTCCGGGACTATCCCTCAGTCCGGAATAGTAATTGCCCTATGTCCCTCCACAAAGACTTTAATTCAAAAAGGGCAAGATCTCTATATGTCGACCCGCGTAGTGTGCGCTAGATGGGGATACCAGCGTTCTTACCTTTTTTTTTTTCACTTCACGTTGTAACTTGTCCTCTCGTGGGTTTTTCATAGTGTGCCATATGGCACTATGGAGTATGGTGACCAGTTGGGATATGCGGAAGGGCCGGGTTGGGGGGACTCTGACAGGAGAGGAGGTTGTAGAAGCGCGAGAAGGGGGTTGTGGTCGAAGCATGTAATACTACCACGTTGCGACAACGTGGTGTTTAAGCAATAAGATCAGCGGCGGTAGCGATCACCTTACTGGTACAGTACGGCTTGCGCGTCGTATTAGTTATCGACGTTTTTGCAAACCTGGTGTTGTGGACATTATGGTGTCACCCGGGACTATTTTCTACATGTGCTAGCACATGGTGGATGATGGACCACTGGGGGGGTATGTTTGCTATAGTACAGAGAGTCTTGGTTACAGGCTCATATGACTATACTAGGCTTTCCAGTATCTCAATTGACTCTGCTGATCGCTTCTGCATTGTTTTCGGCCACAGACACTGCCGCAGTCTGTGACCGATTGGGAGATTCCGTCAAAAAGCGTTTGCTCGCTCGCTCTCCAAATTTTCTTGCGACATGCCAGCATTCCAACGACTTGTTCCCCTTTAAACACCCCACACCAAATTAACCCCTCACACTCTCCCCGGCCTCTTTTTCGGCAACCCGGCATTCGGATCCCACTCCCCGACCTTGAACTCCCCCCCGACCCCTGCGCCCCAGGCTTCATACCCCCGCGCCCCGCGTGCCCGGTCCACGCTCTCCCCGGCAGCTCTATATCCTTCCTTATGCTTTCCACCAAAACCCGCTCCCGTCTCTCCGCGCCCTTGGTGCATCTCCTCCCGCCGCTGCAGCCCAGAATCGCTGCAGAATTTGGTATTGCTCTCCAGTACACTATCGGCAGGGGGGTGCGGGGCAGCATTGAGCAAAGAGGGCTTCGAATTCCACCGGGCATCAGCTGCTGCCACGAGGTGTTTTAACTGAGCTTGGCGGGCGATATCCGCATGGAGCTCTGCTATAGTTGGCGCGGCCCGGCTGTGACGGAGCCACTGGGTCCATTGGGCTATAATGGGGATAAGTCAATTAACAAAGGGGATACCGAAGAACGCATGCATCGTGCGGAAGGAATATAAACGTACGGGGCAGTTTGTAGTCCACCAGATCTCGCTTGGGATCTTTATACGTGACCATCCGACGGACGCGCCCGTGCGCACTGATTGGGATCTCCCAAAAGGAGTTGCCATCGAGGTCCATTCCTTTTCCCACCGTCAGAAGATTGATAATGGTATGGTTACATTTATTTTTCTCGGGGAGGCATACCGACAAAGACCTTGCGTCGCCATGGTAACTTTAGCGACTTCCATGTGTAGTAAATACGGGTGAGGATATTTCCCTGGACTTTCGAAGTCATTATTAAAATTGATGCCGTTCATACACACATTGGATGGATGGGAAGGGATGAATGATTGACGGTGAGAGTTGCGTCTCCACTGCAAGCAAGGAGATTGACGTCGTTACTTGGCTGCCTCTGCCAAGGATTGGCACGTGCTTCGGACTATCCGCTTGAGTAAGACCTCGATGGGGGAGAAGGGGTGTGATTGGAGGTTCGGTTGCTTGGTTCACACACTTTGTTTAACGAGAGTTACCCGGTACGGCTGGACTACCGGTACTGTGCTCAGCTTCTGTACGCCCCCAAGGGGTGCTCCCAAAGTGCTGGCACAACAATAATGGGCGCACGAGATATGATAGTAGTACTGCAGACTATAATACAACAAACAGAGACAACACTCCACGGCGGACTCTACCACCCCCGGCAGAGAAGCGTCGACCACCGTCACCTTTCCGCCACGCTGCCGGCTATGAAGCACTCCGCCCCGAACACTCTGCTTCTCTCCACGCTCTTTCTCAATATGCTTGGCCCACCATCGGGTCCCATATCCGATGCACACTCATTTAATTCTTGGAAATCACTTTCATTCTTATCCGCACATCCTTCAACAAATTCCCGCTCCAGAACATTTCTGTAATCATGTATGAGGCAAAGAGAGAACGGTAGGTATGTATGTGAAGGAGGAGGCAAAGGTGGTGAATTGATCTTTGCAGCAAAGAGATGCAGAATATTGCCGAGCATTCCAAGGGCCCGTGCATACAAGATATGCCATCATCTACTGTAGGTCTGGAAATCTTGGTTAGTGAATGCCAAAGAAAAACTGGGCGACAAAAAAAAGATTTACCGCCCGATAACTCGATTTCCGCGAGAGCGGGTGCAATGAGCTGTTCTAGACAATCTTTAGCATCTGGACATTTAGACATTAGGTGGATCTCGAGCGGAACCTTGGTCTTGTCCGCAAGACTCGGTGCTCCCAGTGAGTGTTGCCTATCCACACCATGGCTCAGGGGACGGGCAGGTGAGACAAGAAGCCAGGGCTCCAGGACCAGGAATAGCAATATAGGAAGGATAGAGAACTGAGACAACAAATATGGACAGGATAACCATACGAGAAGACACGGCAAGGCTGCAGAATTGGTGAAAATTAAAGGAGGTGGCCGGGTGGAGGGCAGGGAGCAGATGGAGAGAGCCGGGAAGAGGGCATTGGGTTGTAATGCTCCATACTGCTGGGGACCATGATGACGCAAATTGCGGTATGATACCTGGGCCATCAGAAGAAGCCTCCTCTGCCCTGATCACAACAAGATCACTCGGATAGACAATCACTCTGCCTCAAGCAAGTAACAATATACTCCCGCGGTCAACACAATGGCTCAAACTCTATTGAACCCATCGCTCAAGCCGAGGATACACAAAACCAGAGAAAAATACCCACCGCTATTCAGCTATGTGCCCCACGTCAAGATACATGCTCGGTTCTTCCCTGGGGCTACCTGGGAGAATCTTTTTAATTCCTTTACGATCATCATACTGTATCACCCAAAGTAGAATCAGGTATCCCTGCCGCCTGATGGGCGTACACCTTCTTCCCCTAAACTAATTATAATTCAATGATGGGGGAATCTGAGAATCCGGGAATCACTAACCGGGCTTGGCTCTTGCTGGGCAAGTACTCGTACTATCCATTTTTAAAAGGAGTGCAGCCGAGAGATATACCCTATTCAGAACATGTCCGCTAAGAATGGATTGGTATGCCTTCTGGTTGTGATGTGTCCTCAGACAAGGTATGTGACGAAGATGTTTATCGGCCACACCTGTACCTCTCGCTCGCTACGATTTTTTCCTCCACTCCACCTTCCCCACTCCCCTTATCTCTTTACACCTCTTCCTCTACTTTACTGGTATCCGTCTCACAATACTTTCCATCTCAGCTGAGACCTCCACGCCTGTTCCGAGTTAGAGTCACCACATCCCCTGAGGGCAATATCTGCTTCTGTATCATATCAGACGGTTCGTTACTTTCATCGTTCATCCCAGGCCCTACCCTTTTTCCTCTTACCCTCGATTCGGGAATATGGTCCTTGTATTTGGAGATTCATCCTGTCATGCCAGGTCTTATACTAGTGTTGGAACGAGGATTCTGAGACCCGCACAGCCTATACAATCACGGACGCGGAACAAGTCCCCTTGTCGAACTATCAGGACTATGTCTCCTCGTCACAATGCATACCAGCCAGCCGGCATAGACAATAATACCGATCCTGCTACCACTCCCCTGTCAGCTTTCGAAAAATTGTCGCTTCTGATTCCAGTGACTAACCAGCTCAATTACACCGGCGTTGATCAACTTGTGGCAGCCGTTCAACTTCGGATAACCTAATTCCTCTACCACAGAACTGGGGGCTACATACTCGTCAAGGGGGTGTCATCGGATCGCCTTTCCCAACATCGCGGGGCTTTAGCAGTGTTCCCAACCGTCCCGGGCGTCCCGGCAGGGTGGGTAAGGACGGCAGGGCATGGCGTCCGTCTTTGATAAAGACCGCCGTCTGAGTGGTTGATGCCCGGGCCCGGGAGTCTTAATACAAATGGCATCTTCCGGCCGTCCTCACCGGGGTCCGGCCGTCATTCGCAGAGCCAGGATCTCATCTGCAGGGCCATTTGCAGGTGAGACACCTATAGGGCCCGGCCGGCCGTCCCGGGTAGTGGTTAGGACGGACCACAGGACGGACGCCCGTCCAGGGCAGAGTTCCAGAAACCGGTGTCCGTCCCGTCCGAAGCCAAGGACGGACGGACTGGACGCTTGGGAACACTGCCGCTTTAGAGGAGGTTGGCATCATCAATAGCCTACGTTTTACCTACGAGAATGGTGTACAGGAACTCATCATATGGGTAATGCCAGGGGCCGCCCATGAGAACACAAGCCGTTACTTTTTTTTAAAAGTTGCAAAGAAGATCGAACAAATTCCCGCACATTCGGACATGTCATTTCGCTGTGTTGGGAGCACACAGTTTGATGTGATGGGCAAGCGAAGCAAACAGGGTGATGAAGGCTTTAAGCCAGCCTCCAGAAACCAGCTTAACGATTGGCCTTCGCTCGTAGTGGAGGTTGGCTATTCAGAAACCCTGCCCTCATTGAGGATCGATGCGGAATGGTGGCTCACAAATTCGGGTGCAAAAACAAGGATGGTGATTGTGATTCAAATTGACACCCATCTAAGGATGATCCGGTTTGAATCGTGGGAAATGTTACCCAATCCTGACTTGACCGGTACCCTGGAGCCTACCAAACCTGGCCTTGTACAATACGTGGAGATTAACGCAACCGGACTTGTATCACCACCAGGAGCGATATTAGTAATTCCCTATACATGGATATTTGATACGGAACATCCTGACTCGACCGATATTGTTTTCACCAGCAGCGAACTGTCGGACTTTGAAACATTCATATTTGGAGGCCTATAGAAACCAAGCCGCAATGGCCAGTCTTTCCCACACTACTCGCTCTATCGCTACAACCCTCTTGCACCCCTCCTACCCACTACCTACCGAACTCCCTTCACTCATTCTCTCAGTCTCCCTGTTTTCCGGCTATCCTCACACAATGTCACCTCAGCCTCTCTTTGGCTTTTGCTCTCGTTCTTTTTTTTTTCTTTTTTTCGTGTTTCTTTGGCTTTTGTTTTGAAGATCAACTACACCATTTTGCGAGTGGCAGTTGCAAGTGGTAGGAAAATGGGGATGAACCGCGGCGGCACAGGAGTTATAAAGGGAGAAGGGGCGGGGGCCAGGGACTGATTTCGCATCCTGTAAATAGGGCTGTGGGAGATGTCGGACACGAACAGCATAGTATTGGGGCGCATATTTTAGTCTATGGAGATCAGATATTTCTTGTATCAAACCTATAACCCTTTCGTGATTAAGAAATCATAGGTTGTCTTTTCCCATTTCCTTCCCCAGCATATCCAGCGGCAGCCATTTTTTGTGCAAACTCCTAGTACTCGTGCGTCTCAGCCAAGAATTGGTTTCCCCATTTGTGATAGCTAGTGTGGGCCAGTACTTTTCCACCAAAGAAGTATAGTGTCTTTAAAGTAATTTATTCATAAACACTAGACTCCACCTTAAGGGTATATGTGCCTAAACAACATTCCATCCAAGTGGCAAGCCAACACTACCTTCAAACCCACAATCAAAATACAAAAAACACTACCAGGCCCGTAGCCCCTCGCAACCCTCTACCCAAACATAAATCCAAAAATCACAACCATGAGTCTCATGGTCGCGGACAACAATCAACGTTGTCCCGGATTAACAAGTCTTACTCACTTACAATTCCTGCTCCAAAATCACACCCTCAACCCGCAAGACAAATTGTTCCACCTAAACAAGAAACTCCCATTACAATTTGGCCCAGCAGTCCTTATAACTTGGATAGTGGTTGCCGATTAACCAGCCCCACTTTACCCCACACTACCCACAGACTGGCCCTGTGAGCTCGTGACATTGACCCCATCATATGACCATCTGTGTCTGGCACACAACCTCTCAACCATCCCAAACTCCACCCAGACCATCCCAAAACCGGTAGTGCCAAGTCAGTCGGCACGTTGGCACTTTCCGGAAATGTGCCCGGATTGGTTCAAATTTGCCTGTGAACTCAGTGTCATACACTGCACAATTGGTAAAGTCATCATGAATGAGGAAGGGGAAGGAAACATTTCTCCTCCCGGACACTGGCCATAGGCATCTCCCATGGGGGTTAGGCACAGGGTGCTCAGAGGGGCACCACCCACACTGGCGGTAATCAACCACCGGCCATCAGCCCACCCTGTATAGCTGGCCTGAGAAAGGGTTCCCAGCCACTATTCAAAAATCACCTACCTGGACGTGCCCAGGTATAATTCCCAGTCCCAGGTAGTTGTGTCGGAGCCACCACTCCTTCCACCTCGGGATATCCTTATCATCAAACAGAGTCAAACGTGCAGGTCTACCAGCCACAGTAAGCCAATAGTTAGTCAAATAAAACTG